AGCAGCCTCAGAGAACCAGAACGCAACGAGCCAAAGCTAACAATCAATAAATTAAATTCAGCCAACAACTTGAATCGAAAGTTTTGTTTAAAGATAAATGTCATCAATTGCCAGCAGACACAAACTCACCTTTTGGAGCTCTGCCACGAGACATAGAAACATAGAATCGTAGAGTTGTAGAGTTGGAAGGGACCCCAAGGGTCATCAAGTCCAAACGTTTGCCCAATGTGGCAACCCATGACCCTGAGATTAAGAACCTCATGCTCTACCAACATGGAGGATTTTTTGTTTGTTTGTTCCAAGGATCAAAGTGGATGGTAGATTTGGTCCCAGTCCTGAAATTATAGGGAGAGTGGGTGGGGTGCAGAGAGGAAGGAAGGCTGACAAAGGTGGGCGCGACTTGGCTAAAACCAGAATCAGCAAGTGATGCCTGTGACTTACATTAAGGGCCTCTTCTCTACCTCTACCCCGTAGAGCGGGGTACAGCGGAAATGGGGCCAAACACAGGGCCAAATGGTGTCCCCTAGGCCCCTCTGCCTGGCCTCAGGACTTTGCCACCATCTCAGACTATGCTTGTCACTGGCCCTACCCCATGCCCTCAAGTGATTCTTGCTAGGCTGGAATGTGTCCTAGAACTGTGAGAATGCTTTTATTTGACTGGATGAAGAAATGTTTGTGGCCTGTGCAGGAAACCTTGCAGGCTCCCTTGAAGTCTGCCCTGCAACATAGAAATCACGTCCATTGCTCCACCCACTCTTCCCTTTGGTCCTCACCACTGGATTGCAGAGACTCGGACAGTTTTCCACAAGGAATTTGGCCCTCATTCTGCAAAGGTTTTGTCTGTCCTGCCTCATTTGTAGATCTTGAACTCTGTTAAAGCCTGGGTGGAGGATAGAGAGGGGGTGTGTGTGTGTGTGTGTGTGTGTGTGTGTACTAGCCTGTTGTACAAATACAACACTTCCCTTTAGTTCTCTGCTCACGTTTCCCTCCAGCCCTACACACTCCTACCATGTGCTCCCTAGAAGGTTCCCCAAGAAGAAATGCGATCCTCAGGCTTAAAACGATTCCTCTCCCCTCTCCTATTATGTGAGGACTGGCCAGTTCATGGTGTGAAATTCTCCTGCATGATACATGTCAAAATGCACAGTTTCTCAGCTTGGTGCAATTATATTACTTTCAGTCATTCAAGGAGCACTCCACACCACCTCTTGTTTAGTGAGCCAGGGACTTGGTTCCAGCTGCTTCCATCCATAATACTTTCATCCCAATCGTGGTGTTCTTTCCCCCAGTTCTCAACACCTTTTCCGACACCACATAGTAACAACCTCCCATTAGCAACACTTTTAAAGGAAACAGCTATCGCTCAGCTGAACACTTCAACGTTGCCTTCAGCTTATGCATCATGGGGACGGAGGGATCAGTCTGTTACAGTTTTCCATGTCATCCCCCCCACCCATACATCTGTTCTGCCTGTTTCCATATTAATCTGGTGTGTTTTTTTAAAAAAAATCCTTTTAAAAATGCAAATATATGAAGATTCAAATTCAAATGTGTACTTGAATATGTATTCCATGCATTTGTCATTTTCAAATAACAGAAAGGTCAATTTATAACAACAGTATCATTCTTTACAATAGCAGAAGAAACAAACAAACAAAAAAGCTTAGGGTATCTGTAGTGCTGCTGAGACATCAGAGGAGAGCAGAACTTTGTATCAAAGAGAGAGAAGGCAGGGTGGGTGTCTTTCAGTTGAATTACTTTTATTAACAAATAGAGCAGCAGGATATTAAATCACCATACATTTATTATAAGTTTTTTGGGGGAAACCCCCCGCCATACCTTTCCTTCTCTCCTAGATCAACCAAGGCTAGTTGCTAGTTGCTAGTTGCTGATGTACCAAGCCTTAAGGGAGAGATGTTCTGCTGTTCTCCTGTTCCCTGGCAATATGCTGCTACAACAAAATACCTATTTCATTACGTATTTTATCTCATACACACAGTGTACGCAGTATCCAACATTCTGTCTGCTACTGCAGGGGTTATTCCACTAGCAGATGGGTGAGTTTTAATGTTAAACAACAACAGAAGAATCCAAGGCAGTAGTTTCACTAGTTTCAAGCAACAGATTGCACAATATATTCTGCAGCCAAGTTCCCAGCAACCTGCTCATGCATTCTCTTGTGCCACAACGTTCTACTGGCATAGAATATTTTACCAGTGGAAAATAGTTTACTGCTAAGCGTCTTTAACTTAGCGCTACATTGGACGTAACCCTTCTCAAACATACTTTATCCTTTTAAAAACTACATTGTTTAAAAACACATTTTGGCACTTCATTTTTGGGGCAGAGAGCTGAATTGCAAAATTCAGAGCAGGATGAAACCCAAAAGATAATTCCATTATCCACGTATTAGCCACAGGAGTTGCACCATTAGATCAGTTTCACATCAAAATGCAGACCAAACAGAATAGTCTTCCAACTCTAGCACCAAACTAAGAGTCCAGATGGCAAATTTTCAGTTCCCCGAACAAGACAGACAAAGGAGTGTTTTATTTTTATTTTTATTAAAAAATATGAACAGGCAAGGATATGGCATATGCCCTCTGCTGCCCTGGCACCAGGGAGTGCTTCTAGGTGTCATTGTCTGTGGCATGCTTGCTTCTCACTTGTTGTTGTGGATTTTGTCTCCATTCCTTGTAACTTCTGCATGTTTCTCCACCTTGGCTTGTGCTCTCTTACTATAAAAGTTGATGGTTTGCTGTTGGGTATTTAAATATGTTGTAAGTATGTAGGTTGGGGGATTGGAATCACCTGCAGGCAAGAAAGATACCAAAGTCTGGAAGCTGGGCGTTTGGAAGCAAATTTCCCCAATTCAGAAGTATCTGATCCCATTACGAGCCGGAGCCCAAATCCCTCTGAAGTTTGGACTAGGTTCTTAAGAACCTCCCTGGACAACCTACTGGATTAGCAGTAAAGTCATCCTTCAGTCAAATGGGGGGAAAGTAATTGTTTGAATCCACATGCTTCATTCATATTCTCCCCCCACCCCCAAATCTTGGTGTGGCTTTTAGACATGGCAGTGGAACTGTCACATGGGGAAGAGCCTTCAGAACACAGTGCCTTTCTACCCTACTTCCCAAACCTGGCCCATACCATTATTTGGGGAGCTAATTTTGTCCGGTGCTAATTCTTAGCAAGTGCTAAGATCAAAGCTGCCGTTTTCTCCTTGCTGCCACCGCCTCTAGCTCATCTGCCAGGGCTGGGTTGGGAAGGAGAAGAGATAGCCTCAAGGCCGTTAGTCGCCGATCTCTGCCATACCCACTGAGCAAGCAGTCAATCAAATAACCAAGCTATTTCTGCTTTATGAAAGGTTCGCGTTAATTTTGCATTTCTGAAATGCTGAACAGCCACTGTTCTGTCTGTAGGATTTATTGATTCTCCATAGTTCTGAGAAAGCAGGTCCCCTATAGCTTTGTATTGCCTCTCAAGCAAAACTCATGCCGGTGGACTGCTTGATAATAATTAGACTTTGATCTTTTTTCTTCCCCCTTCCCTCCCACCTTCTATTTTCCATAGCAAAAGCAAGCCAGCTCCACAAATTTCACCCAGCAAATCAGTGGGAGGAGAATTCTGTGTGGCTGCCGTCTTCGGGTCGTCGAGGTCGTGGTTTGCAAGCAATCCAGGTCTTAAAAGGGAGAAAGGTTTGTGAAACAATGCATAAACAAATATGTACTATATAATGCAAAGCTGATTCATATTGGCTTGATCCATTGGTCCATCTAGCCTAGTGTTGTCTTCTCCAACTGGAAGTAGCAGTGCAGGTGCTCAGGCACCCAGAAGGAAGTCCCATTATTCACTACCTGATACTTTTAGTTTGGTTGTTCCGGGGGTTGAGCTGGGATGTTCTGCATGTGAAGCAGCTTCATTCCATAGAGAAAGTGGAGCATCTGTTCTGCTTGCAGAAGGTCCAAGGTTTAATCACTGGCATCTCCAGCTAGGGCTGGGAAAGATTCCTTGTGAGCCAATCAGTGTGGACAGTACTGAAGGAAGTAGACCAGGGTTTCCCAAACTTGGGTCTCCAGCTAGTTTTGGACTACAGCTCCCATCATCCCTAGCTAGCAGGACCAGTGGTCAAGGATGATGGAAACAGTAGTTCAAAAATAGCTGGAGACCCAAGTTTGGGAAACCCTGAAGTAGACCAGTCGTTTGACGCCATATAAGCTCCTTATGTTCATAATTTGGGTGTTCTGCCTTTCTATTCTCCCAATCACTCTGAGGTAGGCTAGGCTAGGTCAGAGAAAGAGTGACTGGCCTAAGGTCCCACACAGTGTGTGGGGCTTGAACCCCTTCACTCTGAGTCCCACATTCTAACGCATACATGGAGAACCTTTGGTCTTCCAGATGTGGCTGGACGATGTCTCCCATCATCACTGGCTGAGGCTGATGGGAGTTGGAGCTCAACAACATCTGGAGCACCACTATGTCACACTAACTCAGGGAAGGGCCCTGGCACATTGGTTGAGCATCTGCATTGCATGCAAAAAGAATCCCAGGTTGAGTCACTGGCAACACAACTGGGGAGCTTCCCCTATCCAAAGCTCCATAGAGCTGCTGCCAGTCAGTGCAAACAATGATGAGCTGGGTGGACTCAGTATAAGGCAGCTTTTGAAGTGCTTTGCCACTGAGCTATGGTCCTTTCTCAGCAATGCTTGTGGATGCTGCCATAATTCTGGCTCTAGAGGAGAAGTGCCAATCATGGTGGCAGAAGGAAGGAAAAGCAAAGCAGCACTCACAACGATGTGCAAGCAAGGGAAGGAAAATATCTGGAATCCATTGGAAGCTGCCCTTGATCCATATAGCTCAAGATTATCTGCTCTGACTGGCAGTGGCTCTGCAGGGTTTCAGGCAAGGAGATATTCCCAGCACTGCTTAGAAGTCAAGGGTTGACCTTGGGACCTTCTGCATGCAGAAGAGATGTTCTCCCACTGAGATGTTCTCCCATGGCCCTTCACCGTGGGAATTCCTGGGTCCAAAAGAATCTTGTAAGGAGCCCAAAGCTTGCACACTTTGAACTTTGTGCCTGTCTTTTTGGGGAAAATTTTACAAAGCAGATAATGCAAACTGTTCACAGTCTAGTCTTTGCAGCATTTATTTCAGCATTTATTTATCTTTGCAAAATATCCTCAGCAAAAGTAAAAAATAAATAAAAAAATGTCAGATCCCTGCCCTGAGAGTCTTGCAGTCAGAGTCTTGCAGGGTGTCGAGACAAAAAGGATGGTGGGAAAGGGAGAGGCAATATTAACATGAGCTGGATCACTGAGTGCAATCCTATACATAGTAGTAGTAGTAGTAGTAGTAGTAGTAGTAGTAGTATACCACCTTTCATCCAAAGATCACAGGGTGGTTCACAACAGAAAAATACAAAATATTTTTTTCAATTATATTTTATTAAGTTTCAACATTTTGAACATATAGAGTCAAAACACAATTTCATCTTTTCTCTTATTTTTGTTGACTTCCCACCCCCTTTTCTATGAATTTGTTGTTTCTCACTTCCTGCACTGTATCTTCTATCAAATCATAGCCACGATATTATAATCTAGTTACTTCTGTTGCTATTAAGTATGCAAAACACTTAATAGATGTGGCAAGGCAGGCAGGTGGGGCTTGAGCGAGGGCAGGCTGAGATTGGTGGGGCTGTGGCCCTTTCGTCCATACGGACCACCCTCCACTACATTAAAGGATGAAGGTGGTTGCATAGCATTTGCTAATGAATAAAAGAAACCCCAATGTCTTTTCAATCTTCTTCTTCCCTAACAGATCAGTCCAAACAGTTTGTCGTGGAGTCTCTCTACATCATCAGCTGCTACGGTACTTTGGTGGAGCATGTGCTGGAACCGCGGCCCCTCAGCACTGCCCCAAAGATAAGCGACGACACCCCACTGGAAATGGTGACTTGTCCAAGGGCCAGCTGGACGCTCGTTAGGTAGTCTTCCCTTTCCTAACTTCTGCTCTTGCTTCATTTTGTGCTTGCGGTTAGAGGTTCTTCTTCTCGGGTCCGATTCGGAACTTCCAGCCTCCAGGGGATCCAGTTCCAGGGCGTTCCACAGTTTTAATCACAGGTGGAGGTGTCAGAGCAAAATGTATGTGGGAATTCCCTTTTCATGCAACACACATTCCACAAGAAAAAAAACTGCAGTCAGGGTAAATTGTCTACTGAACTAGACAGACCCAATGGTCTGACTCAGTATAAGGCAACTTCTTATGTTTTTATGTTCCCAATTACAACATATATATTGCCGCTGTTGGAATAGCTCAGTCGGTAGAGCATGAGGCTCTTAAACACAAGGTTGTGGGTTCGAGCCCCAAGTTGGACAAAAGATTCCTGCATTGCAGAGGGTTGGACTAGATCAGTGGTTCCCAACCTTTTTTTTGGCCATGCCCCACCTAAGCATCTCTAAAATCCTGACACACACACCCCCCCGGTGACATATAAGTCTTATTATCCAAAAAGTGAACTATTCATGTGGAGGAAGCCTAAAAGGCCATTAACTTGGTCTAACTCATTCTCAAATTGCCCCCCTCCAAAAAAATCAAATTGCCCCCCTGTGGGGTGTGTGCCCCACGTTGGGAACCACGGGACTAGATGATCCTCGTGGTCTGTTTCAACTCTGCAATTCTTTGATTTTATATGGGGATCTGGAGTCTACTCATGTTGGTGTGTACTCTGAGCTTAACTATAATAATGATAGTCAATTGTTCTGCATCAAGTTCACCTGAAATCTGTGCAAAGCGATGACATCTTCTGCCCTGTTCCAGCCTAACTGGGAAAATAGAGTGGAAGGAGGCAGACAGATTGGCCCCACAGAAAGGTCCCTTGGGCCTGATCAAGCCCAGGGGCTGCCAACTCAGCCCTCCGCAGCCTGCAGCGAGCGACTAGACCAATTGTCTTATGCAGGTCTTCCAAGCGGGTGTGTTCTGAAGGCTATTTAAAGAAATTAGCCATGACTTACCGAATAAAACCAAAGGAGGATTGCTGAGAAAATATTGTCGGTGCTTTTGACATTTTAAAATATTTTTCAATTGATTTTCTTTTCTTTTTTTCCTGTTTGGTAGGCTCCAATCTTCTTCAGTGCTGGCTTATTCCTGGCTTAGACTAATCAATACATGATTTGCCAAGCAATTGAAGAGAGGCCAGCCCTGATTAAAATGACAACACTGTCTTTCTTTCTTTCTTTCTTTCCCAGGGCCATTATTGTCAAAACAAGCAACTTGTAATGGCATTGTGAATTCTAGCCGGATCAATATTCTGTAACTTTGCACAACTTCTTTTTCACAGATCCTTAGTTCTTGCAGTGTCATATGATACATCAATGCCCTGGGTTAGGATCAGGTCAGGCCTAAGCAATGAGTTATGAGAAGTTGCACAAAAGTGGCAAACCCACATCCCCCAGAAACATGCTTTTAAAAAACCCTTGCTGGGTTTCTGTGGCGGCCAGTGAAGGGGAAAGTAGAAAAATATGTTAATTCAGTGACTTCATGTCACACATTTATCCAAGTAAGCATTTCGTTTAAAAAGTCTTAATTCATCAGCATTTTAGTTTGAGTTTCTTCTAATGTCCACATTTCTCTATGCAATTTTGCCCATTGTATCCATTTTTGCAAAACAAGATTCCATAACATAATGCATTTTTTGCATGTTCTTTTCACAGATATATGCATCTTTATGCACACTTAGCCCTAGAGTATGTGAGTATGAGACTGAAGAACTGAACTACAAAATTCAGAGTAGTGTGAATTTTGAAGGATGGCTGTGTTTGCATATTGTTTCAGAAAGTGCAAAATTGATGGGTTTTTCTGTAAACATGGACCGAATTGGATTTCTTCCCCACCCTTAACTAGACCACTGGTTCATCTAGACAGGGGTCTCCTCAGACTAACAGCATCTCTCCACTTTTCGAAACAATATGCAAACTGAAACGCTTGCCATACTTAGAAATCCACACTTCTCCATATTTTGCTGTGCTGTTCTCCAGCCAAATAATGTGTACCAAAAATGCATATACTAGAGCAGGTGTCTTCAAACTTTTCAGACCTGGGACTTTCAACCCAAACATACATTTAGGACCCCTTTCTGAATCTTTCACCATACGTGCTCCTGTTGCAACCCACCTTGGATCAGGCTGCAGCCCACTGCTGGGTCCTGACCCACCGCCTGAGAACCAGTGTCCTCAAGGCAAAGTTTGTATATAAACACATACATTACTGAAAATAGCATACAAAAACAAATTACACAAGGAAAATTGCAAATTTGTATATTATGCAAAATTGCATATAAAGATGTGTGTAGTAGGAGAAATCCACACTCAGATCATGAGGACTTGTTTCTTTTAAAAAGAAATTCACAGAACTAATGTGAAAGTGCGGACAAATGCAGTTAAGGGGGGGGGGAATGAGAAACAGAAAAATTGAAATGGACAGGTTCAGCTATCCCTAGTTCCATAGCTCAGTAGTCCCCTTGGGTTTCAGGTGGCAAGAGTTCTTTCCCATCACCTGCTGCCTGTTTGCTGTGAGCCCCCAAGCCAGTTTCATACTGACGTTCGATAGACAAATAATCTGACCTGGTGGAAGTCAGCTCCCCCTGTTCCTAAATTGATCTCTGTGTCAGAAAGAGTAATGTATGAAGCATGCGTGTTTTCACAACTTCCCTTCAGGTTGGGCCACTCCTCACCCCTTTCCCATCTGTGTGTGTGTGTGTGTGTGTGTGTGTGTGTGTAATATTCTGTGCTTGTACGAAACGACTTTAAATAATTATAAACACTGCACTCTCTTGCATAAATAATCGGATGCGATGACACAGATGCTGATTTTTCTTCCAGCTTAAATATTAATACTCTTTCGTGTTGCTTCCGCAGAACTCCCCAGTGGACTGAACTGCAGCCGCCCTTTAACTTGAATCATCCGCTGCTCCTGGCCGCAGATTCCGTGCAGTGCTACCAGTATCTGCTCGTTGGCTGTAAGTAACTTGGAAAACTCTCCCCTCTGGAAGCTGACCGTGTGGCTCTTTGTTTGGGAAAGGAGAAACAAATCCTTGGGAACTGAAACCTTTGTAGTTGCAACAGCTCCTCTCTCTGGCGTCAATAACCCTTGCGGCACTTTCAGGGTGTTCTGCACCCCCACAAAGGATTCAAATTATATGCATGCTTATTCCCTCACTGGTGTCACTTCATACTCGCACGTAGTCTTAGACAACAGAAATGGGGAAACCTTTCTCACCCCAGGACCTGCATTTCCTTATGGGTGACATTCTAGGTGTTGGGGTGCCCAGGGAGGAAGGGGCCAGGGAGAGAAGTGGGTGGTGCAACAGATGTGCTACTTATCTTTATATGTTGTTGTTTAGTCGTTTAGTCGTGTCCAGCTCTTCGTGACCCCATGGACCAGAGCACGTCAGGCACTCCCGTCTTCCACTGCCTCCCACAGTTTGGTCAAACTCATGCTGGTAGCTTCGAGAACACTGTCCAACCATCTCGTCCTCTGTCGTCCCCTTCTCCTTGTGCCCTCCATCTTTCCCAACATCAGGGGCTTTTCCAGGGAGTCTTCTCTTCTCATGAGGAGGCCAAAGTGTTGGAGCCTCAGCTTCATGATCTGTCCTTCCAGCGAGCACTTAGGGCTGATTTCCTTAAGAATGGAGAGGTTTGATCTTCTTGCAGTCCATGGGACTCTCAAGAGTTTCCTCCAACACCATAATTCAAAAGCATCAATTCTTCAGCGATCAGCCTTCTTTATGGTCCAGCTCTCACTTCCATACATCACTACTGGGGAAACCATAGCTTTAACTATACGGACCTTTGTTGGCAAGGTGATGTCTCTGCTTTTTAAGATGCTGTCTAGGTTTGTCATTGCTTTCCTCCCAAGAAGCAGGCGTCTTTTAATTTTGTGACTGGTGTCACCATCTGCAGTGATCATGAAGCCCAAGAAAGTAAAATCTCTCACTGCCTCCATTTCTTCCCCTTCTATTTGCCAGGAGGTGATGGGCCCAGTGGCCATGATCTTCGTTTTTTTTATGTTGAGCTTCAGACCATATTTTGCGCTCTATCTTTATATAGTAGGGTGCATTCCAGCAACGCAATAGTAAGAGGCTTCTACACCACAACACACCTCTCCATCCCTCATCCAGGCAAGCAAGAGGCAGCAGTCACAGTTTAAGGACACCTTCTGGCTAGGCAAAAGCATGCGAGGAGTGTCTTTAGCAGGGTTTTTGAGGGGTGGTAGGGGAAATTCCTGAGGGCCAGACACAGAGGTCTGATGGGTCTCCTTCATCTCCAAGGCTTGGAATTCCCCACTCATCCTACATTAAAGGGGTTGATTATTCTGTATTATTTCAGGGGGAGAGGGTTAGACCCCATTTACAATGAGTGTGTGAAATAGTGCTTGTCCCACCCTGCACCAATTGCTACCTGGCAGCAGCAGCAGAGGAGAGGAGAGCAGGGCCATTTCGTTGGTGCAACTTTTGGCTCTGCCTCTCCCCGAACTCTTTTTGCACCCTAGCAGATCACTAGAAAAACCTACGACTAGGAGTTTGTACCTGAGTTTGCTTATTTCCTCCTTCCTCCCTATCCATTTTCCTTTTGTGTCGTGTCTGTTCAGATTGTAAGCCTGGGATCAGGGGATCCTGTGTTTATATAGCTCGGGTCACCTTTTGGGTGCCGAGATCAGCAGCGGGGGCCGTCAGAAGGGCAAGGAATGGGAACCAGGAAGGGGCTTTCTCTGAGCCAGCCCCTAACTGGTTGAATTCCCTCCCCACAAAGGTGGACCTAGCACCATCAGTCTGCATTTTCCGCCATATGCTGAAAATATGCCTCTTTACCCTGCCCTTTGACATATGATTTTATATATAGACAGGACTTGCTCGGTGCTTGGAGTGATACAGCTGCAGGGATCTTCTTACATACCTATCCACTGGTAGATCTCTGGTGGATCAGCAAGAATTTCTGACTTCCAATTCTATAACAATAGCAACAACATTTTGAGCAGTTTTTGTTTTTTTAAGATAAAGAGGCTCAATAGTCTGTAGTCCCCGTCCCCCCACAAAAAGAACACAGAAAAAACCATGGAGAAGTAACTGAAGACTTGGATCAATTCCAGTAAGAAAAGGGAGCCTCCACATTGAGTTAGCTAGTTCCACAGGTTCTAGATCTCAAGGAGGTTTAGAAAAGGCTACAATTTGCTTGAGACAGTATGGAATGCGAATGGATGCACTGAGTTATGTTACTGTATTTTGCTTGTTGCTGATCTTAACCTTCCAAGGGCCCTGGTGGTCATATGGGAAAACATGCTCCCTCTAGGAATTAGAACTCAGACTGCTGAGACCTCGTAAGCTGATTGCGTAGACATTTTAGCAGCAGTTTACGGCAAAGCCACAGCCTATTTTTGCACACTTTTAATAGTGCCTTTCTGTTTACTGTCAACCTTAACCATTTTGCCAATGAAGTCCCCTTTTAAAACCCCATCCAGCCCTTCAGATGACTGAGTTTTCATGTTGTTGTGTGTTCTTTCACTCTCTTGGGAACTCTTGGCTTGAGATGTGCAAATTTCATCTTGCCCTCTCAGACGCTAATTTGTGCGTGAAAACTGAAAAAGTGGAGACTCTAATTTAATATCTCTACATCCCAGGCAGCAAAGTGGAAGCGCTTAATCCAATCGGCTTGGTTGATGGCAAGCCTCCCGTCGTAATATTCTATGGTATCGGGTAGACGTCTTGGCCCTATCTGGCGCAGGTTGCTATGGGGAGGAGGGCTAGGCTTGTAAATTAATCTTGCTCTTAAAGGGAGAAGGAAAACAATCATCATAAAGAAGCCGAAATGTTTCTGTGTAGGAGAAGAAAAGACCAAAGGCCAGAAGGATGCAGCTTGGCCATGTTCCTAGGAATTGTAAACATCCTCTCACCCTTTAAGGTGGGAAAAGAGCAGTGAAGTTTTGCATAAAATATGCATAGATGCAATATATAGTCCTACTCAGACTAAGTTAGGTTCATTAATTTCAGTGAGTCTACTCTGAGTAGCTTTCTCCTGCTTCTTAGTCTTTGTGCTGCCTCTTGTAGAAGCAATGCTTTTTTCACTCAGAGGGCAGTGGAGCACAGTTCTGGCACCTCTCAGGTGGGCGCCATTGTGGGCCACCACCCCCCCGGTCTCTTGCCTTTACATATTTCTGAGAAGCCCAAAACAAATATTTCAAGTCAAAACAGAAGCTGGCCAGTGTGTGCAAGTCTACATTTTTTTTTAGATCTACGGCTCCACCTAGCTCCTAGCCAGTCCTAGCCCCAATTGGTCAAGCTATGGGGCCCAAATTGTATTCCCTTTTTTCAATCCGTCTCCCACGTAGCGGCAGCAGGCTTTAAGCTTTCCAGCAAGGCCTCTACCATTGCACACACATGCAATTGCCCAAGCTTCCAAGCTGCCCTGGCCGTCTGCCTGAATCTAAGAGAACAAGGGAGATGGGGCCGCATTTATTTGACCTGCACCAGAACCAGGGGTGGCCCCCAAACCACCTTGGGAGAGAACTTGCCATAGCCTTTAGCACCTCCACAGGTGGTGAACGCAGCTATTGTCAAACCGGAATCTGTGCAGGGCTGCCCTGAGTTGCCTGGCAACTTACTGTAACAATTTCATGGTGAGTTCTGGCACCTAAGACTTTTAGAGTCAGCTGTTAGGGTTGGCATAAAACATCCACCACCAGTTTCAAAGGACCAGCTTGCAATTTCGAGTCAGAACTTTCTTGTCGTCTTGATTGACACCCCTGTTTTGTCAAGACCCTGCCTGGATGCCCAGCAGTGGCTGCATTTGAGCAAAGAGGCAACACCCGCACACCCGCACTGGCTTCATGTGTGCCATTTTCAACTCCTTCCTCCATCGTTTATTTTCCTTCCCCTTCCCTGCCGCTGCCCCACCACACAGTAGTCATTTGTCAAAAGAATGTATGTTCCCACAACGGACCTCCATGAATGGCGCCTTTCATGAGGGATGGGGACCTCCCAAAGAAAGGTGACCAAACCCCACCATCTCATAGCGGGATCGATGTGCCGAAACAAGGCTTTGCTAAATTGCTGCCTGTGGCTGTGCTTATTTTGCCTAATGCTTTCCATCTTTCGAACCAAAATAATTCCTTAGTTCCTAACCAGCTTTCTTTTGAGTCTTCCAAGGAAACTCCATCAGGGCCAAAGTTGTTTAATAGTAATAATATTCAGCATTCGTAGTCGTTCTTTTCGAATGTGCAAAGCAATGCACACAGGCTGTCTCGGTAATCCTTCAAACAGGGATAGCTCAGTCGGTAGAGTGTGAGGCTCTTGATCTCTGGCTCGTAGGGGTTCCAATGCATATTATGGAGCTCCGCTCAAAATTACAACTAAACATCAGGAAGAACTATTTGACAGTAAGAGCTGTTTGACAGTGGGATGGAGTTGGGAGGTTGTGGACCAGGCATAGGCAAACTCGGCCCTCCATATGTTTTAGGACTACAACTCCCATCATCCCTGACCACTGGTCCTGTTAGCTAGGGATGATGGGAGTTGTAGTCCCAAAACATCTGGAGGTCCAAGTTTGCCTATGCCTGTTGTGGACTCTTCTCCATTGGAGGTTTTTGTGCAGAGATTAAATGGCCATCTGGATGCTTTAGTTGAGATCCTTGCATTGCAGGGGGTTGAACTAGATGACCCTTGGGATCCCTTCAAACTCTACCCTTACATGATTCTGAATCCCCTTGCCTCATCTTAGTTCTGCAATGCCATTGCCTCAGACACCGTGTCGGGTGGTGCTTGGCACAGAAGTCTGTGCTTTGATTTTAGAACACTGTTGTTCCAAAATAGCCCTGAATGTAAAAAAATAAATATAACCGTAGTAATCCTTCAGTTTTGCTCTTGAAAAGAAGCAATGAAACCCCCACATGGAAAACACACTCTTGATATATGGCCATAGGAATCAGTTATGCCACATTATGAACTTCCTGGGCTATTAGATCCCATTAAATACAAGAAGATGGCAGAAGCCGAGAGCAGGAACCCTACCTGAGCTTGCTTCTACTCTTCCCCCCTTAGGGAAATATCTGTTAAGACACAAATGCTCTGCTTACCTGCAGGAGCAAATGTAATGGTCTCACATTAGCCGTGGCGGCCTGCGGTTTGATGCGCTATCGCTTCCGTCAGTATGTTTAATTGCCAGCAAATGGCTAAATGGGAAGTTGGGGGGTGAATGGCCGCGGCTGTCTGCCATGTGAGCGGTAAAAGGGATTCTGGCGCCATTTCAGGGTCGCGATTTGTATCTGTCTATCAGAGCTCAGAATGCAGGCCGTTTTCTCTTGGTTTCAGACCCTCTGTATAGCATTTCTGCCAATTGTTTGGCTCCATTAAGTGTGCGGCAGTGGAGCAGGGAGGCGGGTGTGTTGGGGGGAGGAGAGGAATAAAAGCTTGAATGGTCCGAGCCGCAAGGGGCTACGGATAAGCCCTTTCTTTGTCCGGAGCTCGGAACACTGCATTAGGTCTCATTATCCATTTATAATAAGTGACCTTTGCCCCCCGAGGTCATTGAAGAAATACTCTGTGTGCTTTGCTAACAGAAGGTACCCCTCGATCAGCCGACAGACGCAACAATGAACCGTCTGATAGTCTGGTCGCACAGGGTATACTTTTGGGGCGGCGGGGGAGGCGAAAGGTTTATAAATATACAGCTTGATGCCAAAGCCTCCTCTCCCATCGCTTTAATCTTTTTTGGACAATTCACGGGCAGCCAGGGGAAGGACTCAGCTCCTCGAGAGGGAGAATGTATTTGTACATTTTATTTTAACCTACACACACGCTGCTTGAATTTAGCTACGGGTGACCTTTACACTGATACTAGTGAATGGTTTTATTTATTTATTTAGATTTTAAAATAAATAAATTGCAACAGCAGCATCGAACAGCTGGAACAAGGACAGTGTTGTCCGGATGGAGCAAGTGTCCAAAGTGGTTCTGGAGGGTGGGGTGAAGTGGGCTTGTAATCAGACTCACAGACCTGTGTGATTTCGGGGTGGGGGAATGATTGGTAACATCTGCTGCAGAAACCTGAAGGCAGAATTCTCATATTGTGACCTACCTGGGGATAATAAAGAGTATTTTTTTAACACACACACACACTTCTGCTCAAGGCTATTCTAGGAACACTGGAAGTTGCCTTATACTTTGTCAGATCTTTTCTCCACCTGACTCAGTATTGTCTGCACTGACCGGCAGCAGCTTTCCAGGGTTTTGAGAGGGGATGTTCCCAGCTCTAATGGGATGTGCCAGGGATTGAACCTGGGGCCTTTGGCATGCAAAGCTGATGCACTACCCCTGAGCTGACTGTCTTGGCTAGTCCCCTATACTGTGTACAATACAATTTGAATCTTGACATACCATAAGAACAAAGGAAACTTCTTTTTATATCAGTTCCGAGTTTTTGCCCATCAAGCCTGGTATGGTCTACACAGGCTAGCAGCAGCAGTTCTCAAGGATCTCAGGCGCAGAAGGGACTAGCCCATCTATTGTTACATGATCATGCTTTCTTACTTACAAAAACTAACAAACAAACTGGAGATGTGGGGGACTCGACCTGGATCTTTTTGTATACCAAGTATGTGCTCCATCCCTGATCTAAAGCAACACTTATATTCAGTGCAGTGTAGTGCAGGGATAGTGAATGTGGTACGCTTCAGACACTGTTAGACTGCAAGTCTCATCATCCTTGACCATTGGACTTGGGCTGATGGGAATTGGAGTCCAGCCATGTTGACTACCTCTGGTATAGTGGGTGAAGGATGTGAATGTGGAACCTGTGGTCCTCCTGATAATGTTGGACTCCAGCTCTCATCATCCTTAACCATTGCCTGTGCTGACTGGGGCTGATGGGAGTTGTAGTCCAACAACAGTGTTCTTCAACCCTGGATCAGATATTGTGGGACTACAACTCCCATCACCCTTGACCATTGGCCATGCTAACTTGGGACTGAAGGGAGTCCAACATTTTCTGGAGGGCCACAGATTCTTTTTTCCACAGTTAATGGGTTTTCCCGAGCATACTGGCACCTTGATGTGCACCCAGATACACAGTAACTTACTTCCCCTAACCCCATTATACAAGTATAAGAGCAACAAACTTTAGATCATGCGTTGGGTTCTTCCCCCACCCCACTCCATTTCCCATAATCATGTCATATGGAAAGGGCACCTTCTGTTTACGGGCATTCTTCTTGGTCAGATATATAAAATTTATGGGAAAAGGCCTACAGAAATTAGGAGGAGGCTGATGGCAAGAATTAATATATTAACTGGTCTGCAACATTCTTTGACAAATTGCTTACTAAATACATCAAAATTGATTGGCCGCTGTGTGTTTTTTGAATTGACAAATGAGTGCATTAAAGGAAGGAGAGAAATCTATTAATTACAGCTGCCCTCGACCGTAGGAAATGTAATGATATAAATATAGATTTTGTTAAAACAAACAAACAAAAAACTAACCCCCATCACCCCCTGACTTTTGCTGTAGGGTTTGCTGGTAAGCTTACACGACATATCTTCACTATTAAATCTCTGCTGGGAGGTATTGCAGTGAGCAATTGATCTTGAAACATGTGTGCTGGGTGGGAGCCTTTTTGTTGTGTTAAGATGTGACACCACGTGCCACAGCATGGTTGGGTTCAAGCTTTCTACAAGGATCTCTTTCCACGCTGACCTGTCTACCATGAAAACATGATGATTTGAAGGGTGGGGCATAGTCCAGGGTGGTGCTCTTCAACTTGGACCCTTAGATGTTGGTGGTTTACAACTTCCATCATCCATTGGCTAAGCTGGCTGGGCATCATGGGAGTTGTAGTCAAGCAACACCTGGAAGCCACAGATTAAAGAACTAAGGTTCTAAGGTTCAGTGAGTTAACATGGGAGTGTTGGTCAAGCCTATTGTAATAGAATTGTAGAGTTGGAAGGGACCACAAGGATCATCTAGTCCGACCCCCTGCAATGCAGGAATCTTTTGCCCAACATGGGGCTCGAGCCTGAGATTAAGTGTCTCATGCTCTACCAACTGAGCCATCCCAGCTTCTTGTATTCAACCTCCTTTTGCCTAATGTGAACTGAGAACGGTCCATAGCTGACAACTGGCATTCTCTCACAGCTATGTATTGTGAAGAATATTCTGCCATGGTGAGCAAGGTATATTTCAGGTAACCATATCCACCTTTGCACTGAGGAAGAGGTAAGGGGGGGCCTCTTTTCCCCTTGCACCACCTGTCCTCTGATCTCTCAGCAAACCAGGGGACTTAGGCTCTCTAGGTTATGAATGGCCAGTCGACTTTAATCCCAGCTAAGGTGGCCACTTGCACATTGCCAGAAAAGGACAAAAGAGAGCACACATCTCCATACATTTTTCATATGGGGGGCAGCACATTGGCTAGACCAGCTTGAAGTTTAAGCCCCACAATAATGTGGAAGGAGTATGGAGAAACACATGCTGTACTGGTGGCAATGTTCAGTTTTGCCCTGAATCTCTATGGCGTTATTTGAAGACTATCCCTATTTGAACCAATCCCACCATCTGCCTCTTCTGTCTAAATAGTAGCTGTGCTTTTACAATAAGAAACTGATGGTGCTTTATCCACATTTCAACATTTTGTAACTTCTGGTAAACAACAGAGCAATGTATATACATTGCCTTGTGTTGTCCAAGCAGAAAGTTAAATATTCATATTGTCTCGGTTCTTCCTTTCGATGTCATTTTTTTAAAGCTTGCTATGAAATGTTACCTCTAGTGAGTTTTGCTTTTGCTTCCCAGAATTAGACTTGGTTTAGATACAGTAATTAAGCCAGGCATCATCGTTGTCAAGATGACTTAGCAGTCAACATGAGCTAATTGAAAGCCCGACTTGTTACTTTCTGGGCTAGATTTTAGTTCTCCTGCATATAATGACCTTAGAATCCTTAGAAAACTATAGGGTTTATTTGCTCAACACAAACTTAGCAGCAGAGGAGTTAAGAGTAAACACAATGAAATTAATGGACCCAAGTCAGTCGTGTCCATTATTTTCACTGGGGCTACTCTAGGCAGGACTAGCACTGAATACAACCCAGAGTCAGTTGCTCTAATTTCACACTTGGAAATATGTGGTGACCTGAACTGGTGAGTCAGTGAACATTGGCACCTTTGACTTGTGTCCCTTTGACGTGATTGCACCAGATTTTCAGGAACACGTTGCAGTTACAAGTTACGAGATGGAAGGGAAAGCTGGCTCTCCAAGGGCGAAGTCTTCCTGACCAGAGTTTTAGGGCGTCTCACACCTGTGTCCGCCTATGTGGCAGTTCTCCTGGGGGAAATGTTGGGGACCAGCAAGGAGAACAGCACTAGAGTGACCCAAATATGTATTCAGGAAAGGGAAGCACTTTTTGGTGCTCGGGAAAGCTGGCACGAAATGAAGGAAGTCGCTTTGGCTCAGCACCGTTGGAAACCTTCACCTGCCAAAGAACTTGTAGTTGCAAAGCCCACTTCCATGGCCCGCTACAGAAGGTACACAGCCTGCAGAAGGCCCCAGGGTCAACCCCCAGCACCTCCTGGTACGGCAGGGAGAGAGCCCCCTTCCAGAAATGCTGGAGAGCTGCTGCCAGTCAGTGCAGACAATACTGAGCTAGGTGGATTGATAGTTCGACTCGGTATAAGTGCAAGTCCCTGTGTTTCACTCTGGTGAAATCAAAAGCGGTTGTCTCAATCAATCATTTCCCCGCCCCAAACACTTTCTGTGAAACCGAATGTACGGTGATTTCAAGGAGCGGAAACCTGGCCCCATGTCGCTGCCCAAGACTCCTCATATTAAGTGGTAAGGTCATTGCGATAAGCACTTCCGTGTCTTAACACAACCTTTCGCGAGCCAGCCTGCATTACCTCTCGTTTACTTGAAAGGCGTTTGTAAGTGGAAACGTCAGCGTCCACGGCCCATGGGGAAACAAAAAGGAGGGTTCCCCCTCCCTCTCCTTAAGACCTGACTGTGTTGCCCTTTTCCTGAAGACAGAGAGGTTAAGTGGTGAAAGGAAGTACAAATAATTCCTTTTGCCGAGCGTATGACAGAGCAAAATGAGTAGAAACAGGGCAGGCTTCCGTTCTTCCATCGAGCCGAACTATCTCGGACAGGTGGAGCCTCTCTGGGGGCTCAGAAAACGCTCCCCCCCTTGCTCTGTGCAGCCGTTTCATAAACAGACCCAACCAAGACATAGTCATCAACTTGGGACTGTTTATGCAGATGTGAGAAATTTGCTGCGATCTTTACATCCCTTTGTGGCTCTGGGTGTGTCCACGTTCGTTGTATCTCGGTAGTAAACACTGGTCTGTCCCCTGTGTGGCTCTCAAACGCTGGGAGTAGTTCTGAGGGCAGGAGGGGGGGAATTAAAATAACTTTCAGATGCCTACAAACAACAATAACATGCTGAAATGGTTCTTTTTTGCTGCTCTCGCTTGGTCATCTGGAACTTCTTAAAAAAGATGGTGGTGGTTGGAGAGCGTTTGGGGAGGGGGATTTCCATCAATGCGGAGAGGTCAGTTTTCAAAGCGGCGTGCGAGGGTTTAGCTGTGCGAGCCCTCCTGACGCTAATGGGAGTCAAACGGCTAAATCCCCGCGCTCCGCTTTGAAAATTTACTACTAAGCCTCTTGACTTCTCACTACATACTTTGATTGTAACAGTAATCCATGGTTAACATAATTTTCCCGACAATAATGTCAAACATACTTTTGAAGTCGGTGAATTATAGAAAGAAGTTACCTCTTCCGTAACTCTTTAAAGATGGCCCCATCAGGCTGATTTCACAGTAGGCCCTCGCCCCTGAGTTTATTCTCCAACACAAGAGAAGAATGTATTTGTTGCCGCTGTTTGGATCTTTGGCTGCAGGCTCTCTGTGCTTGAAAAACCCAACGCTACTCAGCTGCATGTTGCTCACACAGCCCCAATCTTAACAGGGGTGCCTTTCACAAGGGATGCCGTCTGTATGCCTTTTGTACTAAATTTGGTCCTGACCTCACAAATGCTTTTTTAAAAAAATGACTCGCAGAATGTGGGTAGGCCTGCATATCTTGTAACTCCCCAGCCATGTGCATTAAATGCACTGCAGGCAGGGGGTCAGCTCACTAAACACTTCTTTATTATTTATTTGATAAACTCCCAAAGAAGATTATAACAATTTTAAAAAATGAGACCGTCCCCTGCCCACAGACTTACAATCTGAAGGACACAACACAAAAGGAAAGGGGATTGGGAGGGAGGAGGGTGGAAAGCCAACTTTGAGCACTATTTCATAGATTAAAAAAGATCTTATAGTGTGTTCTTTTTCAGAGTAGGGAGTGGCAAAGCAAGCTTTTTGCAGCTGCTTCTTCACTGGGCGATGGATGGAACCGAGCAGGTCTTCCCCTCATGAAGATGATATCCCTGGGAAGCAGAGGGAGCAGCTTCCTAATAGCCCCGGGTCCCTTGGCGGATGGTTGAGGGACAGCAAGAGCCTTCCTTCTGCTCTCCAGTCGTAGAGCACCTAGCAGTTAGCGCTGGGTGTTCTTTCTGACACTGAGAGCAGAAGCAGGCTCCCTGCAGTTGCTCCTTCACTGGCCAATGGATGGGGCCATGCTGATCTCCCCCTTGCCAAAATCTGCTTCCTGGGAACCTTGACAGTTGATAGTCATGTGTGATGAAGGTGATTATTGACCCAGGGCCACCAGGGCCAACTTAAGACGTTTTGCCGCTTGAGGCAAAACAGAAAATGGCACCCCCTGCTGCTGCCTCATACCTTTCCCTCCTCCTTCTCTGCCTGAGGTGTCTAGAGGCAGCCCGGGGAAGCTCTGACATTCAGTGTTGACTTAAATAATGAGATTGGTCCAAATGCGAGTGTGCATCAGGCCCTCCAGTCCCGTGGGTGGAGGCCAGTGTCTTTCCTTTTCCTAAGGAGCAAAGTTGTTGGGGAGGCTGCAAGCATCAGGAGCTCTTGCGGCCCGAAATGGGAAGCTTCAGTTTTGTGGGCAGCTTCTCAGTATGGTGAGTGAGCAGAACTGCATTTTGGATCATCATCATCTTGGGCAGTGAATCAGGCTCATTCAAGCTAGCCAATGGACCCTCCTGGACAGGAAGGGCTATATGAGACTTCCTCTTTGGACTAAGACCATGTGTGATCCAAAAGGTCTTCCAGACTGTCTCCTGGGTTTGCCAGTCTCTGTAGACAGTAGTGAGCTAGATGGACCAATTGCCTGACCCTCAATATAAGGCAGTTTTCCTGTGCCCTGAGTAGCTTGCCTTGCCTTGCCCAAGCTAGCTTGCTGCCCTCAGGTGTGGTGGAGGATATTATCCTATGTGGAAGCAACGTTCATTTGCCCCTCTGGTACAGAGTGGGGTGGTGTCAATTTGCCCTTCAGCCCCAGTGACTGTTTGATGAGGGTGTGCTTTGCCTGGTTTTATTTCAGTCTTCCCAGGTCATCATCCAGTGTGAATGTCAGTAAACACACGCATTCATAGACATATATCCTGGATTCTGGCAAGTTTGAGTCAGCAGCCCTATTGAAACGACAGCTTACTAGATACCTATATATCTATATCTATCTCTATTTAAGTTCAGCATGGTTCCACAACACCGAGTTTCTTCTGTGGGGGGAAGCAACACACCTGCAGTCGTCGAGAACCCACCATGTCAAAGATCTCTCTGCAGCACACAGAGATGTCTGTTTCGTAATTATACCCTGTCTGTGACTGTTCTCCTGGGAGGAATGTAATGAGAGGAAAAGGAAACCAGATCTCTGCATTGAGCTGCTGATAGAAAACCTGAAAAGATTAATAATTGAGCATCTATTGTCCCCTTGTGTCGGAGGGCAAGGAAGAGCTGCAGTGGATCACACGAGCAAGATGTGCTGCTTTTAGGGATTTGGGCTGCTTTGTCGTTTTTAATCGCTGCAGCACCGTGTGGTTCTGCTCCTGCAGGGATCAGGCCGCAATTGTTCAGCACCCTTTTAGCTGCTTTATGTACCACTGATGTGGCTTCTGTGCTTTCTTTTCATAAATCCAGATAAATAAAAAAATACATCGGAAAAAAGATCCCAAAGATAAGAGCATCAGAAGAGCCTTGCTAGATAGCATAATCTAATCCAGGACCCAGCAGCCTCTAATGCATTGCAGAAAGAGGAGGAACTGCATCGCTTAAAAAAGAGAGCAGAGGGGACAGATTTTGCATAGAATTTGCATATCCTGATTTGTAAGTACTGATAGGGATGTAGGAAACTGACTTATGCTGAGTCAGGCCACTGGTCCTTCTAGCTTAGTGTTGACTGGTGTCAGCAGAGGACACTCTCAGACCTACCTATTGAACCTGGGACCTTCTGCATGCAGGCAGATGATCTGCCACCAAGCTAAGACCCTTCGCCAAATCTCTAAGTCAGGCATAGGCAAACTCGGCCCACTGGTCCTGTTAGGGATGATGGGAGTTGTAGTCCCAAAACATCTGGAGGGCCGAGTTTGCCTATGCCTGCTCTAAATGCAAATCTCCAACAATTTAAATAGCCTTGCAATGCATCACAGCATAGTGGGGAAGGCTATGTTCAGGGGATCTCTGTGCCTGCTCGCTCTGCTCTCCAGGTGCTGTTGATGCTTCAGGGCCCCTCCTGCTGCTCTGCCTCCTTTTGGTTCTTTATTTTAAAACTGGACTTCCACGACAGGACTGTTCCTCCATAGAGTAGGAAACATGACCACTCTAGAAGAGCAGCTTACAGAAGCCAAGGTAGCCACTCTGGGGTCCCACTCGCACCCCAGTCCTGGTGACTTTGACAAAGTGAATTCTGTTTGGCCCCCTACCCCCAATAAAAAAAAATGGTGTTGAATATCAAGCTTGCCTCCAAGCGCCTGAGTTGTTAAAAAGTATGCATTTCTCCAGGTCAGCCATGAGCCAGCAGGAAAAACAAAGGCCTCATTCACACAAACAGCAGATGTGACATTAAAGCCGTTCCTGGACTGAATGCTAGTGACGGCCCTGCCCTGTCATCTTCAACTCTCTGAACTAAACTATTCACCCTCCTGGTTGTTGGCCTGGCTCAAGCATATAGCAGATGAGGTGGCAAAAGTTCATTGCTGGCAGGGTGGGTGCAGGATCACATGGTTTGGATGCTACCCCATGAGCAGAAAAGGCTCTGCATATGGAAAAGCAGACTCTCAGTGATCTGAAGATGGCACAATAGAATTGCCATTGTCTATGATGTGCACACTAATTTTTGTTTCTGCCTTGGTATCCTTTGTGATGGCACAGGTGTTTTGAGCATGGTAAAACCTCCATAGCCCCACCTCCTTTGAATAGCCCCACCCATTCCTTGGCGATGTGTGGCCAAAGCTGCCTTAGCTTGTTTGTGTGTGGGGGTAGAAAGAAAGAAAGAAAGAAAGAAAGAAAGAAAGAAAGTAAGTTACATATAGATAATGCAAAGCGGCTTCATAATGTACATTCTAATTACTAATACCAAACTCAGGCACTGAGTTATTAGCAGCTTTGCATAGCCAAAACGATGCTTCTGGGACACAAAAGGGAGAATAGCAGCATGTTCGAGGGAACCCAACTGTTTGCAGCCCAGTGATACTGAGCATACTTAGTAACCACAGAATGCTGAATTGTGGGGGTAATGGAAAACAGGGGGAATGAGATGGAATGGAGTATCCTGAAAGTGGATGTGTGGTTGGATGACTGGCTGGAACAGAGAAACAGGAACATGCCACACTGTGACATCTTGTTGCTGGGTCTCCACTTGTCATTTGAAACTGGAACCACAATAATCACTAGCATTATCTGCAGTTTCCCCCCCTTTTTTGGCTATGGCAGAGAAGGCGATTGGATTTGGAGGAGACAGGGCAGTACAGCAGCAATCAAAAGGAAAGAGGGGGGGAATGAGGGGTTATTTTGGCTGTGGCTGTAAGCACACTTACTTGAAATCAGTGGAGGCTACTTTCAAGTCAGCTTGGCTCTGGGCTCTTGGTCTTTCAGTGTTACAACAGAGGAGACCAGCTGATGCGGAGAGCCTAGAACCAGTTGTGGCTAACATTAAGATTTGCAAGTAATTAACAACAACAACGCACGTAGTGTATGGATTTATAGAGGCGCCAACATCTATTTACGGTCCTATATGTGTCTCTTTCCCATTATTAACTAGTTTACAGCACCGTTATAAAAAATGGGAGTGGGCAGAAACTTCACACGTCAAAGTTACCCCTGAAGCAACATTTCCCTCGTTCTTTGCCCACTCTTCCGCCGCCCCCCCCCCCACTTTTTCTTCACAATATGCAGACTCTAAAGCTGGTTCATTCATAAATTCTTTGTGCTTTTTAGTTCTAATTGACACAAGGGGGACCTGCACTTCAGCAAAACGTTGCAGTATTTTCTCATCCCCTGACAAGGGCCTTCCTCTGAGATACTGTAAGCTTTGAGGGTCCCTGTGTGCCACCTCTGGCTTCTCTTCAGATCGTATAAAAATTTCGCCTGTGTGCCACCTCACAACAACACCGCCAATCCCCATGTTTCCCTGTCTTTCTTTTCCAGCGGATGCAACGTCTAGTTCACAGATGACAACAAAATGACAGGAATAAAACCAGTTACAAAAATACAGCTACCTGTAGTCAAAATACATAGCAAAACAGCTCCATTAAAACATCTGTAATTGAAATATATAATAAACACTCCCATTAAAACAGCATCATGGTTAAATTAGTTATACCATGTGAGGCCATTGGCCCGTTTAGCTCAGTACTGTTTACCCTGACGGACAGCAGCTTCTTGCCTGAAAGAGCTTTTCACAGCTCTTCCTTGACATGCTGGGCATTGAACCCAAGAAGTTCTGCATGCCAAGCAGGTGCTCAACCCCTGAGCTACAGCATCTTTTATGATCTTAAAAGATCTGTGTCCCTTAAGAAGCAATGTCAAAAGGGACTTGAGGTTTACAGCCCATTCCCTCCCTGCAAGAAGACAGATTTTGAAGCCTCTACTCTTTCCTCAACAGGACAGGCACTGACCGTACCGTAAGCTCACTTGACACTCATTTTAATGACCCAGGGAGAATCGGCTGGGAGCCAACATTAAAACTTCCCTCTTTTCCCACAGCCCGTCATTCTCTAATCCCGATCTTTCCTCGTTCTGGCAACCCATTCATGTCCCCCGGTATTCCCACACACATTACGTCGCCCTGAATTCCGGACGTCCCCAGACGGCGGACAAATCCCCTGTCCCCCGAGGTGTCCTGATTAGAGGCAGGGTGGGGAGGCTCCTCGCGGCTGTATTCTTTCGGTTATAGATTTCACTTAACGGTGATAAAATATGGCTGTTTGGCAAAACAGCTGCTGCCGAGATGTAAATCATCTGCTCCCACCTGCCAAAAAGATCTCGGCCAACTTAATTGTCAAGGCAGCTTCAAATAAGTTGCATTAACGTCAAGGCGGCTTGATGGTTACGACTCCCTAGGCCAGGGGAGAAGCGCTGTGCTTTCGAGGGCAGCCTGCCCAGCACTGCCCGAGGAGGCGGTTTGTCACTGTGGCTTAGCTTGGCTCCTGCGTCTCCTAAAGTGGACAGTTTCTGAAAACTTTGCGGCGGGCACTGTATCGTTGACGGTGGCGCTTGTCAAGGGGTGAGACGGCTCTGGAGCTGTCAGGTTTACTTGAAGCTGTTTCGCCATGCTCCTTTGTCACTGCCAGCTGGAAGACACAAGCAGCTAGTTTGAACGGGAGCAGAGGAAGCTGCCATATACCCCATCCAGATGCCTTGGTCCATCTAGGGCAGCACTGTCTACTCTGACTGGCAGCAGCTCCCTAAGATTTCAGACTGGGAGTCTCCGAGAATTTAGTCAGAGGATGTTCCCAGCTGTACCTGAAGATGCCAGGGATTAAACCAGAGATGTTCTGCATGCAAAGCAGCAGTGGTAGACCTACATTTTGGGGGGCTCTGTAGCTTGAACTCTCATAGGGGCCCTTCACAACCAGAAATGAGTTCTGGGTATGCCCTGTTATCTTCTTCAATGGGGTTGTTCCATGACAAATCACCACACCTTTAAAACACATGTGCTACTGACTTTGGGGTTGTTGAGATATATACAACAACAAAATCATCAATTTGAGCCGTATGACTCAAATTGGGTCTACTAGACTCCAAAAAAATTAAGCAACGTGGCATAAAGTTGCTTCTGGGGCCCCTCTGGAATGAGGGGCCCTGAAACTTAATGAGGAGCATCCCATTAGTCTCAGTGTAGATCCACCCCTGCAAATTAGATGCTCTTCCACTGAGCAATGGCTCCTCCCCTAAAGTGAACAGAGAAAACTGTAAGCAAAGTTAAAGACACATTGCACTGTAGAGTGGGGTGCGGAGAAACAGAAAAAATATACTTTTGATGCTGATTGGTTTATATTTATTGCTTTTATTAACTGTTGCCTGGAGGAACCTAGGCTCCCTGTAACTCATACATCTTTTTGGCTTACTTATTTAACTTAACATGCTGCAATTATTTTCTTCCTTATGCACATCACAAATGCAATTTTACTTTGTACCTGGTGACCAGGACCTAATATTTGTTGTTTGTATTGGTTCATGCTATTCTTAAAGTTAATTATATTATATTTGAAAAGTTAACAGACACATTTTGTCCACCTAGCTCAGTACTGCACTGCCTATCCTGATTGACAGTGGCTCTCTGGGGCTTCAGACAGGGGTCTCTCCCAATCCCTGAGGCCAGGGATTGAACCTGGGACCTTCTGCATGCAGAACAGGTGCTCTACCACTGAGCCCCAGTCCCTTCCCTCTTTGTTTGCTTGTGATGGCCAAACCAAATCTAAGTATAGGTTAATTTCTAAGTGTTAAAAGTACTGGGCTTTACACTTAACCTGGAAATTAGTCTGTTTGGCCAGCATCTCCCATTAAAAGGATCAGGTAGCAGGTGATGGGAAAGCCTCTTATCTGCTTAGGTGTGTGGCATCTCTGTAACACTCAAAGTTTTCAGCTCCCTTTAACCATAGTACCTATACTGAACTGCAGGGATGAGGAGCAATATATCTTTGGACACCAGATGCCAAAAACTTGCAGTGATGAAGATCTGTTGCTTTCATGTCCTGCTTGTGGACTTTTCACAAGAATCTGCTTGGCCAAAGTTGGAAGCAGGGTCCTGCAGGAGATGGTCCATAGTTCTGATACAGTGGGCACTGCTTGTATTTTCATGGAGGAGGCAAGAACACTTCTGAATACCAGTTGCTGGAAATGGCAGGAGGGAAGAGTGCTCTTGTGCTTGGGTCCTGCTTTTGGGTTTCCCAAAGGCATCTGGTTCGCCACTGTGAAAACAGGATGCTGGACTAGGTGGGCCATTGGCCTGATCCAGCAGGTTTTCCTTATGGTTTCTTACACACCGTTCCCAAGATGTCTCGCACCTAGGCTCAGCCTGAGCTACAGAACTATGCCATGCGTCTTCTGAACATTATTTTGACCCTCTCTCATTCCTTTCCCCTTTCTCTTTTTTACACAGTGGTTCCTCTGGGAAGTCCAGGACCGATCACACGGCACGAATCTTACGACAGCTTAGCATCCGACCACAGTGGGCAAGAAGATGAAGAGTGGCTTTCTCAGGTATAGATATTGCAGGTGGTGTGCATGGTCCCAGAGCAAGGGCAAGGGACCTGTTGCCCTCTAGTCGCTGTCAGATTTCATTTCCCATCAGGAATAGGCAATAGTCAGAGGTGATGGGAGTTGAAGCCCAGCAACCTCAGGAGGGCCACAGATGTCCCACCCTTCCTTTAGGTTGGCTACATTGCTGGGATGTTTGTGTGATTAAAGTTGAGCCCAGATTGGACCTGTCTGTTGGGTCCTCAGTGAAGTTCGATATCAGATGGGTGCTCATTGGAGGAACACCCACCATATTGCCTTTTGCCACACAATCACAGAATGCCCTCTGCATTGCAGAGCTGGTGGATCAGGATCTTTGGGTGGAGCTCTAGGGGATTTGGACTAGACCCACAAGTAGTGTGTATCCTGCAGAAAAGTGTGCATAATAATGCATATATTTCTGAAAATAATGTTTTAAATGGCACTGTTTTAAGAAACATTTATTTGCCAAAAAAAGGTATATATTGGGCCAGCTTTCATACAATCCTGTGTATATTAGAATAAATTCGTGCAAATGAATTTTCATGAGGAATATCTCAAACTAATGTGGAAATGTGAGGAACTGAAGACTGGAAAAATCAGAAATTGACAGGTTTGCCCATCCCTAGGCTGTGTTGATTTAGCTGCAGGTATCCAACACCTAGGAGCTAATAGCAACAGAGTGAAAATCCCCAAGCAAAGATTCAAAACAGCAAAACGGAGCCCACATGCCTGCTTGTACTCCAGTGGGTCCTGTTCGTTGCTTTCTGGTGACTGCCAGTGTTTGCCACTTTTCAGACATTCACCGAATTCCTCAAGCACGCATGCAAGTGCTGATGGCCAACAAATTCCGGACACCCACTGGAACATGACTTAAATTGTAAAGCAAAAAAACACACACACAAAAACCCAGCAGAAGTCTTTTGGGGCTGCTCAAGGGGTAATCAGGAGTACTTTGGTTATTTTTGTTAAGAGTGATCTCGGAACACAAAAGGCGCGCACGATCCCTGAGCCAGCCACTTTAGATTAGAAGCCCCGCCGTGCGTGTGTCTTTTTCCAGACGAAAGTGTTGCCATTCGCAGTAACAGCATGCAGTGAAGAAACCCTGCCCTGCGCTTCCACTTCTCAATTAGAAGAGTGGGTAATGTGTGCTGTCATTGGGAAGTACATACAATATGTTTGTCCTGCACTCGGCGGGGGAGTGAATGGGAACATCTGGCTTGTACCCTTGGTGAAATTGCAGAGGCATCTGTTTACCTCTCGGGCTCTGCGGCGCTGATGGTTTCGAGCTTAAAATATACAGAATGCTTTAGTCGTGGCCTAATTTACATAGCGGCGCAAACGAGCTGCCTGCATCAGGCAGACAGCCTGAGCTACCCCCACGAGAAGGGGAAATGCGGATTGAGAACGGAGCGGCCTGTGTGCTCGTCTTCCTAGGCTGGGAAAGAATCGCCCAACAGCAAGACTGTGATAAGGGGGGGGGGGGGATACTTGTTATAACAATCACAAGTCACCTGGAGCATTGAAATTTGAGCATCAGTAGAGACAATGCAGCAGCCCAGGAATCGTATCTCTACAAATATGAAGCCAGCGTTGTGGGGAATGAAAATGACTTTGGAAGGCCACATTCTGTGTCGATTTAGATTTGGGGGCCTTGTCTTTCTGCCTCCCCCAAGCAAAGCAGCTTTATTCTTCTATGATGTTGGAACCTGTAGTCTTCAGAAGATTCCTTTTACTTTTTTGCGTGCAAGATGGTTAAACCCCCTTTTCCCCCCCTCTCCATTTCACTTTGGTCTCTGAATCTGATGTTGCTGCTTTTCTGTCGTGGGGTTGTTTTTTGTATGGCGGTGGCATTATTTTAACTTCACTTTATAATTTATTTCTTTATTGAACAATTTATCTGTTTTTAATGCTGCCCTTCATCATCGATTCTGTGGCAGTTTGTTTCCAACAGTCCAGAACGTAATAAAATACCATTGATGCTGTAAAGCTCAAAAAAAACCCAAAACAGTAAAGTAATAAAGCAGTAGAAAAAAGCAGTGCATGGAAGTGCTTAGAAATACCTTTAAAAGACATGGAGAATTAAATAAATAAATAAAGCTTCACCTGGCCTCTGAAGTAAAAGCAATTCCCCATTTATGTGGAGGTTACCTTCTGAGGCACCGCGCGTTTAAGTGAAATCATGGATATTGGGAACACAATTGAAAAAGCCTGAAAACACCCTCTAAACCTCCTTGCTTAAACTCCAGCTCTCCACAGGCCTCAAAGGTTGGCACAAGGGCTCCTGGGATTGCACTTGCAAAGGCTCGTGGGATTGGCAGATGCAGCTTTTGCACCATTTTTGCTGTTTTGCATTCTTTTAGGGCCGCTTTTGCTCCTCTTTGTGCCACTTCCGGGTTCACATCGGTGCTTGCAGTCACGGTTGTGCATGCCTTGAACACACGTAATTGAGGAGTTGCCTGTATAACAAAATTGTCTCCAAGCAGGATTCCCTAAGGAAGGACTTCCACAGATGGGGTGGATCAGCATAAAATGCCCCTCTCCCTGGGCAGGGGCATGTTGGAGAGAGTTTGGGCAGATGACTGCTGCATGTGGTCAAGTTCATAGGAGAGCAAGTAATCCCTTTAGGGCAGCCTCCTCAAACTTCTGACTGGGCATTGCCCACAGCAATCTCACTGATCATTGCAGTGTATCCCTAATAATAATTATTATATGACTCTAAGATTATTGTATGATCTGAGAAGGTTGTATAATCTTAGAAGGGGACGCTGTTGTGAGGGGCATGGCTATGACTATCTTGAAGTGACCCTGCACTTCTGAATTTGACACTACACTATTGAGGGGAGTGGGGTGTTTTCCTTTTTAGATGAAAGCAGATGACGGAACTAGATGGTATGTCAGACGCAAGGCAGCTGCTGAAAACAGCACCCCCCTGTTCTCCCTGAGTACATAGAGGGTCCACTGAGCTCCTTTGGCTGTTGCATCACAAGACTATGTCAGACTGTTAAGAAATCTGCCCTGCAGGAGCACTCAACACAGGGCTGCCATTTTATTGCAATTCTTTCCAGAGATCTTTAGGACACTCTGAATCCAGCAATTCAGTTATTGCATGGAGCAGTTGGGGGATATAGACAGAACCTCCTGATAAAGACTACAGGACGTAGTTGCATCACAGCCATTAAGCACTGCTTTAACCCTGTTTGGATGCTCCCCTTCTAGGTTGAAATTGTGACTCACACTGGACCTCACCGGCGCCTGTGGATGGGCCCACAGTTCCAGTTCAAGACCATCCACCCCTCAGGCCAAACCACAGTCATCTCATCCAGCTCTTCAGTGCTTCAGTCACACGGCCCTAACGATACCCCACAGCCTCTCCTGGACTTTGATACGGATGACCTGGATCTCAACAGTCTCAGGTGAGAGAGAGAGAGACCGAGACAAAAACACTATTCATTTTGCATTTCCTTGGTTGTTATCCTTCTGGCCATACACAGCCAGCTGCTTACTGACAAAAGTGATTCTCTCGCATAAAGTGTGGGCCAAATCCCATCAAGCCAGTCTGCTGAGGGCTGTGTTGGCAATGGGTCTTTAACTGGCCCCAGTTGCCGAGTGAGGGGCGAAGTCCCCTCCATTTGGGCACAACAGCTGAGCACAGTTGCTCAGTCACTTCCATGCAGTGGTGGCTCATGTTCCATAATAATCAAAATCAAAACAATACTTTTATTTATATGCTGCCCATCTGACTGGGTTGCCACTCTGGGCGGCTCCCAACAAAATGATAAGAACACTATAAAACATCAACCGTTAAAAACTTCCCTGTGCAGGATTGCCTTCTCGTATCTTCTAAAAGTCATATAATTGTTTATCTGTTTGACATCCGATGGGAGGGTGTTCCACAGGGTGGGTGCCACGGCCAAGACAGCCCTCTGCCTGGTTCCCAGTAACTTCACTTCTCACAATGAGGGAACCGGCAGAAGGCGCTCATAGCTGGACCTCAGTGTCCGGGCTGAACAATGAGGGCAGAGATGTTCCTTCAGGTACACTGGTAAGATGTAGGGAGCCCAACAATGGAGCCAGAGCCAATGATTGGCTGAGCCAGAGCCAATGACAGGAAGAGGCAACTAATTCTAGTTTTACCCCATGATCTTTTCTGATGAGTTCTACAAGGGGCAACAATGAGACTGAGGAAACTGACGGTCAGTGCCACCTCCTTGACTGGTTCTAAGTAAGGGGACAGGGAGATGGTGGCTGGCTGAGGGCAGACTGAGCTTGGTGGGGCCGTGCGCCATTTCCCCCATATGGACCAGCCTCCGCTGCTCTGGTACTCAAGCTGAACTGAGGAATGCCTTGAATAACCTTCTCGTGTATAAAACACATAGTTTTTCATTATTTTGTTATTACCGGGCACAGCTAAATCATATGGTAGAAATATGCTCCTTTGCCAGCAGCGATAACATCCCAGGATAACAAAGCAGAAGCGAATGCTGGTTCACGGCTTCTGTTCTTTCTTAGAGTGACTCATAACCTGAGTGGAGAAGAACATCGCTTATTTAGCCTCACTTGTACTCTCTGGTTTTCTCTACCCCATTCTAATGCATTTGGATTGATATGGATATATAAAATCGTAAAAGCAGGCAGGACGGATCTGTTGAGAGTGTGCTGAAGGCAGACTTGGGCAGGAGCGGGAAGCAGACAGTTCAACTGAGCCGCTAGCACAATCCAATGGGAACATCTCCTGCACAAAACAGAGAAAGGTTCCCCCCCCCATAATACCAGGACTCTGGGGCACCCAAGGAAGCTAGTTCCCATTAAGAGGCAGTGATGGCTACCAACGTGGATGATCTTAAAGGAGGATTAGACTAATTCATTGAGGACAAGGCTATCAATGGCTGCCAGCCATGATGGCTATGTTCTGCCCCCACTGTCGGACAGTATGCCTCTGAATGCCAGTGGCCGGGAATCATAAGTAGGGAGAGTGCCGTTGCACTCAGTTCCCATGTTCAGGCTTCCCATTAAGGTATCTGGTTGGCCACTAAGAACAGGCTGCTGGATTAGAATGGCCACTGGCCTGATCCTGCAGATGCTTCTTATGTTCTTCCAGAGAATGGGAACTACACCAGAATAGGAGCCAGGCAGTTTCAATCCATTTTGGAAAGGCTTATACGGAAGGACTTCCTAATGGATTGTTCTGCAGGATAATTAGTCTGTGAATGGTGCCATATTTCTTTCTTTGTTACATTCATACCCCACCTTCCCTCCCCTTTCAAGCCCTCCCCTTTCTCCTCACAACAACCCTGTGAGGTAGCTGAAGATGAGAGACAGAGACAGACAGACAGACAGACAGACAGGGAATGAATGAATGAATGATGTTCAGGCTCATTCAATTAGCTTTGTGACATCCCCCCCGTCCTAGTTCCTCAAGGGCTGAGGAATCTGGTGCCCTCCCAAGGCTGTTGAACTCCAATTCACTTCCGCTCCAGCCAGCATGGCTCAGGGTCAGAGATTACGAGGGCTATATTCCAACAACACTTGGAGGGCCACAGGTTCCCCACCCCTGGCTCCAACCACAGCACCAGAATGGCTCTCCATAGGGTGTTTCCATCCTGAGCATGAAAGCATCTTGAGCCTTCCCAGGTTGTACAAACAGACTTTCTGAGGGAAAAGTGCCTCTGTGTATGAGCCAAGCTCTGCTGAGACACCACAGCTGTCCTCTGTGCATCTGGGGCTACACAGTCCAGCTCTTTCGGGTAATGGGTGCAACCACAGACAGACAGCACTTCTCTCTTTCTGACTTGATGCACTTTTCTGACTTGCTACCCTTTCTGCATTGCTATCCTTTTTTCCTCAATGAACCGGCATTTACATCTAGCCACCTGTTGCACTTTGCATTGCAGGATCCAGCCTGTTCGCTCTGAACCCGTTAGCATGCCAGGGTCGTCACGTCCAACTTCTGATCGCCGAGGAATTTCTACAGTGGCTGATGCTACCTCAGGTAGGGAACGTTCCTGTGAATGGACATGCATGGTCTACTCAAGGGTGCCTGTAATCAGTTGTGCGCTGACTTACTGCTCCTCAACCTTTCGTGGCTGTAGAGTGAACTTGGAAGAGTTGTTTCTCGCCCTCCGGGTGATAATATTGTGAAAGACAAGAAGCTTTGCTTTCACTGATGAATGAAAGTGTATGGTAGTGCAGGGATGAAGGTGAGACTGAGGCAGGTGCTAGGAGCCATGTTTGTGACCATGTGACTGGAGGGCAGTGCCCGATTGGTGGGCAGGACTCCCTGGGACGTCTTGACGGAACTGTGGCCGCCACCACAACTTTCAGGGCAGAATTACCTTGGTCTGTTTCCCCCTTCCTGGGTCAGGAGTAGTTGTCATCTTTTGGAAGCAAAATGAAAGCGGGGGCAGTTGTGATCAGTCAGCCAGGTCCTGATCAACACCTGATTGACTTAAATACAGAGCTTGGTTGGAAAAGAGCAATGTCGTCTCCTTACGTCTTATTTCATTTGATCTCTAAAGCAGAGGTGGCTGATCAAATGATGTTAGACTGCCGCTGCCATTGTCTCTGAATGTTGGCCATGCTGGCTGGGCATGATGGGTGTTGTAGTTCAGCAGCATCTGGAGGGCTACACATTAGGCACCCGTGCTATAAAGTTTCTTCTACAAGATAGGGAGAACGGATGGAATAGACAACATCTTTGCCTCTCCTTTTTGTGTGTGTGTTTCCCCCTAACATTCTGAGACAGGGTCTCTCCAGCCATCCTTTCCTATTGTGCATTCATGATGATTTGTGCTTGTGGCAGTTTCAGGGTGGTTATATGCAGTCTCACCTTCAGTGTTGTTTGCACCTGCAAACGTTTCAAGGCAGACATCCTGTTTCGTTTCCAATCAGTGCATGACTTCCTGCTGAAATCCTGCAACTTTTTATACTGAAAATGCTTGGGGTGTTGTTGTTTCTGGGGTGTCCTGCTGTTGTTGCAATAGGACAATAACAATGAGGCAGCATCGTGGAAAAAATAAAGCAGAGTGATGTGTGTATGGTCCAGGATAAATCCACCGCTCTTGTACTATTAATGTCTTAATGGCATGCTGCAGAATGCACCCCCAAATAAACCACCAGTCTGGAGGGGCCCTTAGCCAGAAACCAGTTGTTAACAATTTGAGCACAATGCCTGTAGTTGTATGAAGCAGAGAAAAGATAATGTGTATTTAAAACCGAGCTGTTGACCTCCTCCCATAGTCAATGCTGTGTTCTGTTCCCTCCCCTTTTTAATTTCTTAACCTGATCCTAGCAACTCTTCCGTGGCTCAGTGCTGTGGTTGCTCTTAATGTCTTCCATAGTGTTATAAGCAAGATGCTCTCTGCCTGAATTTGGTCCCACTCTGCCCACCCAGGTTCAGTGCATGAGAGAGCTTGTGGGATAGGTTAGCCCCGGACCAGCTTCCGTGATTCGTGGCAGCGCCTTTACCATATTCGTCCAGAGAGAAGAACAGCACAGCCTTACATTTTAATTCAGCTGTATAGCTTTCGAAGGGTTCAGCACCGCCGGATTTTCTCCAGCAAAATCTCTCACAAGTGGAGTTATTAAACACACAGCATTAGCAAAAACACTTGGGGCTTGAGGAGGATTTTAATCTTTAGTGATTCGGAAATCCCTGGAGACTGCTGATTGGATTGAGGTTTAAACTGTCAAAGGAAACTGAAACACATAGAGAAAATTGATTTGTGAAAGTTGTTTAAAGGGGAGTGGAGGGGGGGCTCCCAATCCCCCCTCCTCTCCTCTCTCTCTCTCCTTTCTGTAGAAGCAAAGTTTTAATCCAGGCATCACACAAGCTGCCAAGTGTATTTATTGAAATGTTTTAATAATTACTTTTTAGTCTAGTGTTTTGAATCGTGAATGGCCTAACCGTCTGGGCAGCTGCTCTAAGCGGCAGCTCATGGGATAAGGTGCGAGTTGCACAATGGACATTGGTGTCATTGTAGTTCAGGGAGGAGGGACATCAGGCCCAGAGTCTGAATGCAGCCTCCCAGGAGGCTCCCTCCAGGCCACACTCTTCACTGCCCTTCTTGACAACCTTCTTCAGTCAGAATATAAGAGCTCTGCAGCTGGATCAGGCAGCATCCTGTCCTCACAGTGACCAGCCCGGTGGCCCCATGGGAAGCCCACAGGCAGAACCCGAGCACAAGAGCGATCTCTGCTACTGTGGCTTCTTGCAACTGGCATTCAGTCCTTTACCGCCACCGCCAGTTGCAATTTTCAAATGATTTATGTGCAGAAATGCCACTATTCCCTCAAGGATCTCTTGCACCACTTTCAAGCCTAACTAGCTTCCCTTTTGTTGGAATATACTTCATTTTAAGGTGTCTGAATTCCCCACTCCTAAAAAACAACAACCCAGGGTACGATGAAATTTGACATCCAAGACCCATGCTGCAAAGCTGGATCTGCGCATGCAACAGAAGGAAGGGAAAACTCACCAAGAACCAGAGGTGTACCTAGGCTCTCTTACGCCCTTGGCAGGAGCTGTATTGACAGCATCCCTTGCACCCTTGGCAGTCACCAGCTCCCTCCATCTTTCTTCACAGTATTTGCTCCCCACCCCCAGTCTGCGTCCTTGGTAGGCGCCAACTGGGCTGACTCCTAGGTATGTCCCTGCCAAGAACCCTTTGGTATAATCTCCTGATGCAGGGCTGGGGCACCAGTGGCTTTCTGGATGTGGTTGGACTCTGACCCCTGGCCAGCATTGCCAGTGGTCATGGATGATGGGAGTTGGAATCCAATGACATCTGGAGGGCCAGTGCTCCAAGAAGTAACATGCCCTTCTGTGTGGGAGAGATGGCAGAATACCTCTATTTAGAAGAGGCAGTTCCCTCTGAGTTAGGACAATGTCCTTTGGAGCAGTGGGTTCAAAACCTGCAGTCCTCCAGCCCCAGCCAGCATGGCCAGTGCTCAGGGATGGTGGAAGCTGGAGTCCAGCCATGTCCAGAAGGCCACACATTCCCCAGTTTTTTGAAATACAAGGAACTGAAATAATTGCGTGATATGCCTCTGTTTAGCACTGCCTCCATTCCCCCTTCCTCAGTTCAATGTCATGTCTAGGGGTGTTTTTTTGGGGGGGGGTGGCCAAGATGCCATGGGAGAGGAGTTCTTCCTCATCCTCTCTGTTGTAGGTGATAATTCACTCACCCAAAGCACCGTGGCTCAGTGGTAGAACATCTGCTTTGCTTGCAGAATGACCCAGTTTCAATCCGCACATCTCCAGGACCCGTGCTTGAAACCCTGGAGAGTCGCTGCCAGTCAGTAGGGCCTGACTCAGTATAAGGCAGCTTCCTATAGTGTCCCCCCCAACCCTTGATGCTTACTAAAAGGCGGCAAATTGGTTAAGCAGAGCTTTGAATAGAAGCTTCTTGATTGCAAATGGCATTCCTCCACTGTGTAACGTTGTGTTCTACTGTAAATATTCCAGCTTCCTGCTGAGATTGCCAAACGGACCTCCAAAAATAGCACTGTGTTCTTCGCAATGACCAATTTATTGGAAAATGCATTGTGTCCCCGCCACACACACTTCTTTATTCTATTTGTAAAGGTTTGTGGAGGGTTAATAGGTCATAAATTTTTACTACCCATCCCAAACCAGGAAGTGATTCTTCTCTTATGGCCCGTTGCGTCCTGAGTCTCTTGCGCTCTTCTAAAGATGCTTATCTGGCTCTTTGATTGCCTGTTGCTCGGAGATACGGCTCCAGTGGCGCCTTCCCTTATCAAGGCCCATCGCTTGGTCTTCCCATCAGAAAGTTGCAAGTGTGTGTTTTTCATCTTTAATTGATCTTACGGCACGTTTTATAGCCTTCGCTTTTCCTTCTCCCTCCACCCCGGCATGGAGGACAGTTCTTTCCTTTGTGTGAGATGTGATGGTGGCATAACTGATTCCAGGGGGATAGCTAAGAGGTTTTTTTTTTTAATTAAAAAAATGAAAAAGGAGCTGCTGAATTATGAATATGGATATACATGCAGAGCAGCCCCTGCACTGGAACACTGAAGGGGAATTGGACAAATGAGCCAAGGCAATGCTTCACAAACATCTGGCAGCGCTCTTGCATCCTGGCCCCAAACCTTAAACATTTTTATTTTCAAAGTATGTAAGATGAAAGACAACCCGCCTGCAGAGGAACCCCTTTCCCACAGGGTCACTGTTCTGGGCATAGGAGCTGGTTCCATGTCTGAAATGGACTTATCAGCCCCACCCCAGCTATGTCAAGGACTTGACTCTCCCTTACCCAATTGCGGGCAGGAGTGGACAGCTGGATCCTGGAGCTGCCATTTAAATTTCCCATGATGCCTTACAGCAGAGCTTTCCAAACTGTGTGCTGAGACACATTAGTGTGTTGGCTGCAGTGTAGGTGCGTCGCGCAAACGCTCCCTGCACTGCTCCCGGGGCTGGAAAGGGGTTAGATTGACCTCTGGTTTGCCAGTAAAACTGAATGACTGTGTCGTGAAATGATGCAATTCTAAAACTTGTGTCACTGACATGAAAAGTTTGGAAAGCACTGCCTTACAGTGACACTACATAGAGAGTATTAGGAGAAATTAACATTGTGGCTTCTAGAGCCTGCCGCTTTCTTTAAAAACAGAAGAGGGGAACCAGGGCAAATACCGGCAGTGCTACCCAACTAGGTTTCACTCAGAGTTGACCTGTTGAAGTTAATGGACCTAACTTATCCATGCTCATTAAATTCAGTGGAACTACTGTGCATCAAACCTTGTTGAATGGCACTCTGTTGCCCCAGCAGCTGGGCAGGTGTGACTTGAAACAAGCAGAAGCAGAGCAAGAAATGAAGTAGTGCATTGGTGGGGGAACCTCAGCCACAGGGGGTGAATGCGGCCATCCAAGTCTCTCTATCTGGCCCTCAGGGCACCCTCCAGGCCACGTACCCTTCCCAGCCATGCCTCCTCTCAGAGGTGAAGAGAGGTTGTTCCTCTCAAGTCCTGCTTGTGGGTTTCCCATAGGCAACTGGTTGGCCAATCTGAAAACAGGATGCTGGACTCGCTGGGCCCCTTTTGGCCTGTTCCAGAAGGGCTCTTCTAGGCTGGCAAATACCTATATTGATTGTAGCTGTCAAGCTTGGTGCCTAGCTTTGCCACAGGATCAAACTCCAACATAGGTAGGAGATGGCCAAATGGGTCTGAAACAAGGAGAAGTGTCCACAGATAGGCTGGAGGTCATATGTGGGATCAGGCAGGGCAAGGCAAGGCACAGCCACAAAGTCTGCTTGGCTCCTCCATGTGAGAAGTCACTCAGCCTGAAGAACTGGCTTGGCTGGAAAGTTTGTCTAGAAACCTGTCATCCCTCGATTGGTTTTTGATCTCTTGTTTTGCACACAAAAGGTCTCAGGTTCAGTTCCAAGACTCTGCAGGTCAGGATTCTCCTGCCTGAGACCATGTAGACACTGATTCTACTAGAGGGACCAATGGTCTGACTCTGCTTCCTGTGCCCTTCAGCCACAGAGCCTAGTCTGGTTTGCTAAGGGACCAAAGCGCCAATAGCACAGCAGGGTAAGATGCTGGAGACCCTGGTTCAAAATACAAACACACACATCAGCACCTCATAGTAGTTTCAAGGTTAACCCAGCCTTGCATCTTTGATGCTCAGATTTATGAATGCCAGTTGCTGGAAACCACAGGAAAGGAAAACGTTCTTGTTCTTGGGTTCTGCTTGTGGGCTTCCCACAGGCATCCAGGTGGCCAGTGTGAGAACAGGGCTTTGGACTGGGTGGGCCTTCTTATGTTCTCATGCATGGATTCCACCATGAGATAGAATACAAGGTGGGCTATGCACACACACATACACATGTCTTTGAAGGGGTGTGCCACGTGTCACCTGCCTTGTTGCATTGTGAAATCTAGCTGTGCAAACAGTCCCGTCTGTCAAGTCTGTATAAACAAACACTGCGCTAGTAAAAGCACTCAACTGGCGGGCTGGTGACAGCCTTCAAAGGGCTCGGCATTCGGCATCTTGCTATTTAAAGGCCTAGCCTCACGGGCAGAATTTCAGAAATGATGGGAGCTGCCAGGCACTGCAGTCTTGCATTATGATAATATTGGCATTGCAGCTGAAGTTGGGGCAGGTGGCGGTGGTGGTGAGAGGGAGAATGGCTCTTGCAAAATGTTTAAGCTAGTGACATCAACCTGTTTGGCCCACATCGGTGATTCAGAACATGCGGATGGTTTAACTGCCTCTAGAGACCGAGGCTAAAACAAGAGACTCCTAAAGGTTTTTGCGTGGTGTCTAGAGAGCAGGGGTTGCAAACCCATTGCCCTCCAGATGTTGGGACTCCAACTCCCATCAGCCCCATCCAGCATGGCCAAAGGTCAGGGGTGATGGGAATTGTAGTCTAGCAACGTCTGCCAGGTCCTGGGCAGTAGCAGGGTTTGTGCAGCTGGGTGGCAGAGGATTCTGGGAAGTGTAAGAGGACCCACTTGGGTGTGCCTCACAGGGAGTCTGTGCAGACCCAACACTCCCAAGGAAACTCCCAAGGAGCCACAGGGTACCCTAGAACACAGCTGAGAAGCTAGTAAGACGGTAGGAAAAGCCTTGCTGGATCAGGCAACTGGCCTATATTGTTTCCAGCAACTGATATTCAGAGACATACAGCCTCCAAGAGTGGAGGAAGAACATATCCATCATGGATGCTAGCTATTGATAACCTTATCCTTCATGAATTTGTCCAATCCTTTTTTGAAGTCATTCAAGTTGGTGGCCTTCACTGCCTCTCGTAGGAAGAAATTCCATGCTTTGTGCATCATGAGAAGAAATCCTTCTATTCTGAATAACACCAACATATTCATATAGATTAATTCTCTCTCTCTCTCTCTCTCTCTCTCTCTCACACACACACACACACACACACGGAAGAGATAGTTGGCCAAAATGATGGTCCAAGATATGAGTGGGGGGAACAAAAAGCTGCTTAGGATTTTGTCCTCCTGAAACACAGTGGCAGCTCTGAAGTTGTGTGTATGCGTAGGAGGAGCCTTGGATTTCCTAGGGTCATGAGGCAGGGCTCAATTTGTGGACGGCAGAATCAAGAGTCAGCAGCTCGGCGCCACGGCTGTCCCCTGCTTGGCTCGAAATGTTGTTATGGCCCTGGATAAGTGACAGAAACGATAGCATCAAAAATGTACACTAGTAAAATCTTGTTAAGGAAACGCCACCGTTGGGGAGGGGCAAGGAGTGGGTGAAGGAGGTGATCACCCTTGGAGGTGATCACAAAGCAAGAAAATTGGTACTGGGGGAAGCAGAGTGTTCTGATGCATTTGGGTGCTTCAGGATAATAAATTAAATTCTGCCACTTAATGTGGTGATCGCAAAGCAACCCCAAACCGTGCGCGGGTAATGGAAATGCGCGCAAAGATTATGCGGGGCATTTCTGTATCCTTAAGGAGGTAAATGTGAGCTGTTGTTGGAGGGGAGGTTGCCTGCATTAAATCAGGGAGGGGTGGTGGCCTTTTGAGGGGGGATGCAGCTTTAAATGGAAGATTAATGTACATCAGGGGAAGTATATCCCCCGGAGGAAGGAGAGGCACGGAAATTCCAGATGCTGCTCCAGATTGACAAAGACAAAATGCCAGGTTTCCAAATTTAGGATTTTACCAAAAAAAAAAGCACAGTGCCTAGCTCTTAGTAGTCCTGATAGGAGAGAGAGAGAGAAAGACAGAGAGAAGATTTGTATGTGCGAGAGAGAAGACACATACTACTGCAGTAGTATGTGTGTTCTGTTAAGTTCACAGTAATTATGTTGTTGTTGTTGTTCTAAATGTTTCTATAATGCCTTAAAGCAGTGGCTCCAGGGAATCCTTTCCACTCTGATCTATGGCTGAAGAATTATTCTGCCTTTGTTTCACAGCTCTGTGCTGCAAAGGGCTTTGGGAAGTGTCCCAGGGTGCACACTCCATTCACAGAGGGTGGTTGGCTAGCCGGCTGAGCCACCCTGTTGAGCTGTTCTGCATGGGTCCGCCCTACAACCAGCCCAGGACTCTCTTCTTGCAGGAGGAGGTCAGTAATAGAAGGCAAACTGTCTTTCACTGACGTTCCTCCTCCCTTACTGACCTGCGCACGTTAAGGGAACCGCTGAGGATTGAGCCACTGAGGATGTTAGGGGTAGGAGAATCTGGCAATCTCATTTTCTTGCATTTCCCCACTCTTTGGTTCAGTCCCCCACATTTCTGCATCAGCTGGTGAGGTTGACTAACAAAATAGAAATGTTAAATTATTATAGCAAAACATTTCTTCTTCCGCCTTCATCAGTTGCTCTGATAAAAATGATGTTTCCAAAATTTATTTATTGTATTTATTAAATTTATATATCACCCTTCACCTGACGATCTCAGGGCAGTTCACAAGATGCAAATACAATAAAAGCACAAATAAATAGTTAGAACAAAAACAAACCAATAACACCCCCCCTCCCACAAACACATTTAAGAGAAGTTGAAGGGGAACATTTTCGCTTGGCTTAGTCATCAGACGAACCTCCCTGGGGATTGTTATACAGCTTTTAGAATCGGATGCACTGGCTGGAGCTGATGGGAGTTGTAGTCCAGAACATCTGGAGGGCGCCACATTGCTGAAGGCTGAAATAATAGTTTGCCTGCAGCTGCCTAGTACAGTGGAACCTCGTATTACGGACGGGATCCATTCCGGAGGCCCGTCCATAACACGGAACTGACGCAAGCCGAAGCACCACGTCTGGGCATGTGTGTGGTGCGATTTAGTGCTTCTGCGCATGTGCGAGTGGCGAAACCCGGAAGTGACCCGTTCTAGTACTTCCGGGTTGCTGCGGGACGCAACACGAAGACACGTAACCTGAAGCAGACACAACATGGGGTATGACTGTAAATTCCTATGCTATGTGCATGGGATTGTGGGCACGCGCACAGCCAAACAGCTGCCATGGCCACTCACATTAAGGAAGTGGATATGATAATGAGCTCGATTTGCACACTTTGTTCTCATTGCAAGATTTGAACTCCTTTGGGATCAAATCTGGAATGGAAAAGTGAACAGAGAATCAAGGAGTCATACATTAGCACAGCCCTCCAGACATCATGGACTCCCCTCATCATCCCTGACCGTTGGCCACACTGGGTGGGGCTGATGGGAGTTGGAGTCCGACAGCATCAGGACAGTGCCAACTTGGAGAAGGCTGCACTAGAGGAATTCCATGTAAGGTCAGGCTGAGGCATATGTAGCCAAAAGGCAAGGCAAAATCATTGGGGAAAGCAGCAGGCCAATATCAGTTCCCAGAAAGGCAGCCCAGGTGGGTAAGGTGAGAAAGGAACAGGAAGCAAAGACCGATCAGGCTAGAGAACAAGGGGAAAGCTTGCAGAGTCAGGAGAGTGTAGCAGGGAGAGGCAGGGGCAGAGTGAGGAACAAAGGCTATGAGCTTTGTTCGCTGCTTCCATGTGCAGACTGAGGTCTGATCTGTGTGTTCAGCAGAATGAGGTGGTGGAGTGGTTTGTACCACTTCAAACACAGACGTGGGAGATGTCATTTTCGAATAACTATGAACAACAGAAGGGGTCTGGGTTCCTGCCTGTCCCTTGCTGTGCTATTTTTCCTTTTGCAACAGAGTCTCTCTCTCTTGTGGCAGAGCATGTGGTGGGGGAGACAATTCTAGCATTTTCAGTCTGGTCCCAGTTTGCCACCTCAAGTCTCAGCCCACCTGTTCCCCACCTAAATTCTCTGGCATGTGTGGACCAGGCCAAAGATGGCAGACAGGCAGAGGGAGTTACACAGATACATACCCACCAGCATTTCTCTGATGAAAATAGGGACTTCCTACATCAACATCATCAATAATAATAATAATAATAATAATAATAATAATATCCCACCCATACGACTGGGTTGCCCCAGGTACTCTGAGCAGCTTCCAACCTATATAAAAACATAATAAAACATTAAATAACTTCCCTATACAGGGCTGCCTTCAGATGTCTTCTAAAGGTTGCATAGTTACTTATCTCCTTGGCTCAGGGGTTGCATAACTCCATACCATCCAACATTTCTCTGATGACAATAGGGACGACCTAAGGAAAAGCAGGATATTCTGGGATCAAATCAGAAACCAGGACAGCTTCTATAAATCCAGGACTGTCCCTCGAAAATGGGGACACTTGGAGGGTGTGTGGATTAAGGGAAGGGGCTGGTTCCAGTGGACAGGAAGTGGAAGATGTATGTAGGGAACAGGAAAAGGCAGGCACCAATCGCAGGGGGAGCTGTGGAGCAAAAGCTGGCATCATAACAAAATGATGCTACTGCAAAGAGACAGAACTGGCTGCACGGTTTTGGCCCAGCTCCCCAAAGGTCTGTGATTCAGGTCTATCAGAGGCCCATGGACACAGCCCTATGGGCCAGACTGGAGGCTGCACTGCTTTCTGGGTCCATCTCTCTCACTCTGTCGCTGTCTCTCAGTTTCACGAACACCTCTTGCCTGCATCAGCGCGTTCAGCTTCCCTTTCCCTCTCAGGCACCATCAAATATTTATCCCCAAACGTTGTAGAGTCACTTGAAGTGCTGCCCGGGAGCCGCAGAGCGCAGCTCTACTCAGGTAGCAGAGATGTGTGAATGCAGCCAGCCGATGGGAGCTGGCGGCGTTGGGGAATTCCCGTGCGGCCCTTATCGCCGCCGGCAACTGCTTGACAGGCCCGAACGGCCACCGGTTTCCTATTACTGGCGTTGAGAGGGCCAGGGGAGGCCTGGCGTCGCGAATAAGTAGGCTGCGCTGGTAAGAGCCGCTGCCCGCAGGGTCCTGGTTGGCTGCAGGGATGTGTAATTAAGATACCCTGAAATCCTTCACCTGAACCAGTAATTACCTGGATGGTATCAAGGAGGGTGGTTGTTGCAGACAGTGGCTTCATTCAGGCGACATGGAGCTAATCTAAGAAACAGTGACCGGGGGAGGGAGGGGATTTGACCCATTCCCCATCGCGCGCCCCTCAGTTGTTCACAATAATGGAAATTCTTGAATTTGTTTGAGTGTCTGGAGGGAGCTAAGGAGGTTCAAAATGCAGCAGGCTTGGTTTTCAGTCTAGTTAAAGCAGGGGTGGGGAACCTTTTGCAATCTGAGGGCCACATTCCATTCTGGGCAAGCTTGTGAGGGCCACATACTAGTGATGGGCAGCGTTAGAGGCCAAAGTGGGCGGATACATGAGGTTTATCTTTGTACAGTAGGCTCATTTCCTACACATACTCCTGCATCCCTCACTCTCCTCCACCCAGGCAAGCAAAAGGCGTGACCAGAGTTCAAGGACACATTCCAGCCAGGCACAAACACTGTGTGGCCTGGGGAGGGGTGTGGTGTGGGGAGAGTCCCCAGGCCCAGGCAGAGAAGTCTGGGGTCTGCATGCTACCCTCAGGGCTGGGGCTTACCACCCCTGAGTTAAGGTTCTCAAGGCTGCTGCCCATCAGCGTTGACATTCCTGGGCCATCTTTGCAACATTTATTGACAAGGTAGGCCCATCGCTGAGCAGCAAAGAGCCTTCTTCGCATGCAGGAGTTCCCAGGTTCCATCTCTGTTATCTCCAGCTCAAAGTAGCATTGCTAGGTAAGACTTCAGCCTGAGAACGGCTTTTGGAAATGTCAGCTGGTTGAAAATATGGTCGCCAGTTTCCTGATGGGGTTTAGGTGGTCAGCATTGCTGATATCAGCTCCACTGGTCTGCCAGCATGTCTCCCCAAATCCAATTTAAGGTGTTGCCTTTGATTTTTAAAACCTTAGTTAAGCTTCATTTGCGGACTTCGAAAACAGCAGCAGCTTTAACCAATACCAACCACTCGCTTGACTGATTTCCATTCCTGACCAGAAACAAACCTGCAAACTGCAGCAGTGCCCACTTCCTTTTCTCTTTTCATTGGAATTCTCGACTTCCTTTCTTGCAAGTCTCCACCTATTTAGGTTAGGAGAAAGTGGGGCGCTCAGCAGGAACACCACTTCTGTCTTTGCTTAGCTTGCTTTATCTCTCCAATTACAAGAGGCGAGGAAATCAATATTCTGCAGGCTTTAAATCATCTTGAAATTGGAAGAAAGCGAGCAACACATGCAAACATTTAGGGTTGTGCAGCAAACAGGGCCTAGTTGCGCCAGTCCTCAGTGTCTCCCCACTTGCCGCCAGCCCTGACGTCGCTGTCTCTGTGATTGATGTTTGGACCAGTTAATGGGGCTCAGAAGTTAATGGCACAGGGAGCCTCAGATTGGGTATATTATTATTATTATTTGCATAAGCATCATAAGAAGGTGTGTTGCACAAGAAAATGCCGTTGTTCTCATCGAGGAGTGACAGGAAGTTGATGAGAGACAAATTTTAAAGCTCCGCTTTGGACAAAACATCCCAAGAAATTTCAAGGGAAGCCAAAGTGTGAGGGGGAGAGAGTTTAGATAAGACTAATTGTCTGATCTTGGCAGAGTTTTGCCCCAGGATATTGGGTGCCAAGGGAGGAGCAGGCTAAGAAAGGTGTGAGGAACCTTTGGCCCTTCAGATGTTGTTAAACTGCAGCTCCCATTATCCCTAGCAATTGGACATGCTTGCTTGGTCAGCCTTTGGCAAGCCACAGGTTCAAAGTTCCTGCACTAAGAACACAAGAAAATGAGAACATAAATTACTCTGGATCAGACCAGAGGCCCATTGAATCCAACATCCTGTTTTCAGTGGCCAACCAGATACCTCTGGGAAGCCTGCAAGTAGGACCTGAGTGCAACAGCATTTCCCCCACTTGCATTCAGAGACATACTGCCTCTGACAGTGAAGGTAGAGAATGGCTGTCAGCCCACAGTGTATTGGTCCAGAACATTGGTCCTGAAAAGGCAAGTTTCAGTTCCTGGGAAAGCAGATTAATCATGTGAGCCTAGGCTGAGGCTAAGGGGCCCTTGCACATATACCTGATGCTTGAAAGATGGCCTCCTTCCCTATCAACCCTCCCCGAGTGTTAAGATCACCAGAGGGGAGGGACCCTCTTGGTAGTTCAGAAATATGGAGGTGGAGGTGGCCAGGGAGAGGGCATTATCTGTGGCAGCCCCTAAGTTGTGGAATGCCCTCCCCAAAGAGGTGTGTCTGGCTTTGTCACTGCCTAGTTTTCAGCGAATGCTGAAGACACAACTCTTGACCCTGACCTTTGACACCTGAGATGTGTGGTTTGGGGACCCACTCTATTCCTATGGCTGTGGCTTGTTTTCACCGAGTTAAAATCTGGATTTTAAATTGCTGTAAGCTGGGACCAACTGATGAAGAGCGGCAGACAGCAGCAACAACAACCCTCTAGTCCAGCATTCAGGATGTCATGCCTCTAAGTGAATACATCCTTTTTATGGCACTGTTGGTTCCCAAAATTCCAAAGGAGGCCGAGCTCTGCCTCTGTTGGTATCAGATGAAAACCTGAGTGAGCTGTGTTTTGAAAAAGATCTTAACTCTTAATGGAAGGTTATCGTTCTCCCTCCCCCTGTTCCTTAACCAAAGGAAATCCTTTGGAAACAGAACCTCTAATCAAGGGGTCACTCCAAAGCAGTAACATGAAGCGTGACCCCAAGGCATTCGCTGCCTTTCGGATGCACGCTCAGGCCTCCTTCATTTTCACTTTGGTGTTTTTCTCGTTTCACTTCCTCCTTTCGCTTTCTTTTTTAAAAAAATGATAACTAGATTACCTCTGTTAGCTATGTACGAGGTGGTAGCAGAGGTATATCTAGGGTCCCTTGTGCCCTTGGCAAGGAACTGCGTCCCCCTCTCTCCCTCCCCCCCAAATCACTTTACCACAATAGCCCCATAATTTGTCTAGAAATTACTGCTCAAATGAAATTAGTTAGTTTTGATTTAGTTGTGCATGCTTTAATTCCATTGATTAAATGCTCCATGTGGATGTGAAGGTTTGTTGGGGGCTGGTGTGTCCCAGCATGGGGTTCTCTGGCTGAATTCAGGCTAGGAACGAAGCCTAGGGGGTATCCTTGATCCACCATCTCTCATCTGCCTGGTTTGCTGAACCAGGTGCTGAAGGCACAAGAGGAGAGGCAGCAAAAGGTGGTCGCTGGGAAACTGCCCTGAGCTTAGACTCTTTCTTAACACCTCACAGCCAATCTGCCCCAATAAGCAGGTACATGGTTGCCGCCTTCTTTGCAAGCAATCAAACTTGTAATGTTTACATGGGCGCAATCCGTTCGATAGCACCAAGGCTGCCATCCCAGCCCCATTAAATTCATTTACTTCTGAGTAGGCACGGCTAGAAATGCACTGTAACTCCTTAGCAACCAATCCCTATCAATACTTACTGGGTAAAGCAACTCTCTCCAAGTTCAACAGGGCAAATTCTCAACAGCACTGACTTGGGACTGATAAGCCGCACTGAGCACTGCCCTCTTTTACAACCTAACTAGGCTACAGCAATGAGCCTCCTGTCAAGTATAGCAGGTTGTGAGTTGTTACACTGAATGTCGGGAGAGCTCTGGGATGGCATGAGCCAGAGAGGTGCCTGGGCGGCAGCAATGCCATCACCCCCTTGGCTTTCCCATCACCCTCAGGCCACCTCCCTTGACAGTTACCTGTGGAAGTAGTGGCCGCAGAACATGCCTCCCAGGAGCTGATAGCCCAGAGGCACCAAGCAACAGCATGGATTTTTTTTGGGGGGGGTGTCTGTGCCCCCAGTGGTGGCCAGTTTCACCAACCAAATTAGAAATAAAGGCTATAATTTAAATAGAAAGGCAATACATCTCACCTTAGTGTGGAACAAGGCTGTGACCAGGTGAGCTGTGGGCATCTATTCAGTGATTCTTGCACAAGGACTTGGACCATGGGTAGGCAAATTAAGGCCC